GCCATTTCAGATTTTCCCTGGCTTGTGGTGTCTGTTTTCTCCTTTCCTACAGAAATGTAAAACTGCTGTCCAAAAACAGGCATTCCAGTATACGGGCTTCCAGTTTTGACCAGGCAATTAACAACTTTACCCACAATCAATAAACAGAGTTTTCCTAAGTGTATAATGCAGTAGGGATGGAGGTGAAGATGGATTTTTCCTGTATCCACAATAAAACTGAGTATTTACTTGCTTTGCAGTAAATATACTTACTTCCTTTTAATCATGACAATGAAATCAATAAAAGATATTTTACTTGTCCATCCAAAAACTAATAAGGAGAAGATTTGCAAGCAAGCAGGGAGCGCTTGATAAATTATCAGACGGAGACTCAAGGGAGCTGGCTTAGTCCCTGGATCTGCCAATCTGAATATTCTGGTTAGGATTCTGTTGAGCTGGATGAGTTTGAAAATTTTCCATACTGGTCCCCTAATCCTTACTTTGTTACTGTGGCAAAGGAAAAAGAAAATGCTGTATATTTAATTAGAGCTATTATCATACAAAGGGGGAACCAGACCATATTAGGGAGCCAATTTACGGGAACAGCTTGTTTACTTTTGGACAAACAGTACTGCCTATGAGAGCTCAATCTCAAGCAAAGCTCCTGCTGACTTCAGTAGGAATCTGGTATGAGTCAAAAGTGGAGGCTCAGTAGTGCTCTACAGAGAAGCATAATGATAATTATAACAAGGATTATAATTGGAGATTTCCGAAGTCTATCAGACTACTTCTGTTAATATCAATAGCTGTCTTGTGGCTATATTGCCTAGACTAATTCTTTTTTAACACCCCATCCCTAAGACTCATCATTAGACAAATGCCATATCCTAATATATACTGCAACTTAAACACAATGAGAGCTTCAGTCTGTTTTTTAATCTCTGTGATATTCTGTCTTGTTGCCCACATACCAGGAAAAAAAGTTTATTGTAGGCAGAAGACTGCACAGACTGTTCCCAATCAGGAGGTCTGCAGGCTTCTTGGCCTTGTAAGGGGATGGGCCTTAAAGACTTGTGGTGCATATTGACATTTGAAAAAATAGCAATAAACAAAAATTAAAACAAATTTAAGTGATTTGCTGCAGCTCTTAATGTTGCACCTAAAAAAAAAAAAAGTACTGAAAGGAAATAAGATATGGAATTAGATTGATAAATGAAGCGAAAAGCTAAGTCAGCAGTTCAAAACCTTATGCAGTGCATAAAATGGTAGCTTAGAGCCAACAGGTAAAAAAGAAAAAACCTGCTTTTGCTTTAAAGACTCCTGTAACCAAAGGTTCTCCATAAAAAACAATCATCTCTTCCCCATACAAAATGGCAAAAATATCCGTCCAAAGTTCTCTCTTCAACAAGAGTACTTAGAGACCAGAAAACAGATTCTTGCTTATCCCATGTCCCACTTCCCTTTTGCACAGAGCATGGATTTGGAGTTCCAGCCAAAGTACTTGTCCAGGGTCAAGCAGATGCACATCCTACAGACATGACAAAGTCTCCGTTCACGACAGGGACCTCAGGACCTGCTACTCACCAGTCAGTGTCACTGAGCGAGTACCTGAAGTTGTCTGGAACATTTTTAGGCTTGTTCATTCTCTGGATCTGTTTAAAAGGTGAGTGTTGTACTCAGAAATAACAGCCTATGTTTTCAGAGTTAGAATCCACCACTAGCAGTTAATTCAAACTGGCCTGATTTTCCATGCCCCAATTTGAAACAAGCTCCTCAGGTCCTCACAAAATCAAGCCATTTTTAGTTTGAGACCTACCTTTTGGTAACTGATTGGGAACATTATGACCTGCCTTCAACTGTAATATGTTACAAAATTACGGGGGCAATTTATGGAACAGCAGATAGTTCCCTTTGCAAGTAACTGACTCCCCAGTGCATTATATCCTTATAATGAGTCAGTAAAACAAGCCACAGCTACAGCACAATGAATGTCAAGAGGCACAATGGACAGCAGGTATTTTTAATGATTTAATGCATCAGCCCCCCTGCACACACACTTGTCCTTTTTGCATTTTACTGTACTGCACTGGACAAGGAAACTCACTGTCAGTATTTCAGCTGCTCCTCTTGTACTGCAGTGAGATCAATACCGCGCTCCAGTGTCAGCCTGGCTGGAGGAGTTCTCTGGCCCTAGGACAAACACTGAAAACAAAAAGTAGAAAAATCTTCTAGGACTCAAGGGCTTGAGGCGATGAAAGGTAGACACCGAGAGTGTCTGCAACCGTGGGGGTTTGTAGCAGTGAGGACTCAGCCACTGCTTAGCCCAGCTGTGACTGAGCTTTATTGCGGAATAGTTACACACATGCCCTTTGAATGGACACAGAGATTGAAAGCTGCACAAAATCCTTTCCATTCACACAGATCCGTTCTCCTTGATGAGCAGAATAGGGCAAGACCGGGCACAGCTTTGCAAGGCCTAGCTGAAAGCCATGAGCTTTTGTTATTTTGCAGACCAGTGCCTTTCAGTTATTATTTTTTCCTTACTCTGTTTATTTATAGTACTACTCAAGACTGAGTACATATTTTGCTGTGGGGTGAATAAAAGACTGAAAAGATATCTATCCCTGCCTGCAATGTCTCAGCAATAAACCCAGGTCAGCCAGAAATAAGCTGGAAATGCAGCTACGCTTTTGAGGCTGAAATTTGCTCGGAGCAGGTTCAGGAGCGCTCGTCTGCGGCTCAGGCCTGAACAAGAGCCTCCCGCCGCGTGCCGCCGTTCCCCGTTCCCGGGATAGTGGCTGGATGAACGCGGACACGCAGGTCTGTAGAAGGGGGAGCAGCGCAAGCAGCCCTCATGCTGCCAGTGCTCCTGCCCGTGGCTTGCGGCTGCTCCTGCAGGAACGGGCAGCGCAGGCAGCTCTCCTGCTTCTGCACAAGGCGCGTACAGAAATGCCTCCCTCTAGTGAACAGATGCAACTATTGCCAGTGTATTTTCCTGCTTGAGGTACTGCCTTCATACTGTTTCATGCTCCGCCGTACACTTTTGCTTTTGAGTTTTATATATGTGCTAAGTTTATACCCACTCCTTAAGTGCGAAGGGAGGGAAATGAATGAGTGTGTCTCATGTCTGCCCTTGCAGAAGCCCAGAGCACTGCCAAGCTGAACGTGGGGCAGCCCTTATGCCGGGGTTATTTATAAATACCACGTTTGGAAGAAGGGATGTGCGGGCCCACAAGATCCAGGACCTTGGTGGGCCATGCTGCGAGAGAGGGAGAGACTTTGGGTCTTGTATTTTCTGGAAGCAAGGTAGTTAATTAGATTGTCGGCAGTGTTAATTCATGATACCTTAACATAGTCCATCCTACTGGTGACATCAAGGCCTCTAAAAAATCTCCAGTTCAATTCCCTAAAGCAGGGACTTAACCTTATAACATATCTCACACCTGATTTGCCATCTTTCTATATTGCCTGTCATCAGAGTTGTACCAGTGCTGATTGGGTGTTAAGTTATAGAAATGATATTCTAAGCACATGTGCTAATAGATACAAGGGGGAAGAACTAGTGATCTTTAGCTTTTGCTAAGGTAGGAAGACTAGGAATAGGATGACGCCTCATCTTGACATGCTTTGCTGTGCATTCAGTTGCTATGTTATATGATATGGAAATAGATTCTTTCCATTATATTACCTGATATTTAAATTTTTGCTTTGGTAGGAATTAAATCAATCTTTAGGAGAAAGTAGATATGGGCATAAACAAGAAAGAAACCTAAAAAGACTTGAATATCTTTCTCAGACAAGAGGTAAATGATGTTTCAGAGTAGCATAGCAACTGCTATGCAACCCAGTAGATTGCATCCAGGGAAATCCAGGGAATCTAGGGAAAAGAAAATAGTAAAAAAGCTAAGTTGCCAACGAAATCTTTGAAATTCTTGTTTCTTCATAATTCAGGTGAAAATTAGTAAGTATGAGAAATGCATTTCCTGGGTTACTTTCTGGAATGTAATCTATTTCCCATTGGGAAACTTGTCCTTGGAATTGGAGCAACAGAAAAGCAAGGGAAGATGCTTTTGAAAGTGACAGAGAAATTCTGTGAAACCCTAAAAAACAGAGTAAGGAAAAAGTGAGAGGAAGCAGTGTCCAATTATGTCATTAGCTGAACCTCAAAACCCTTCATTACTGTGGCATATGTAAAATATAAGCATTGCTTTAGGTACTTGTGATTCTTGTCTCTTATACAGACTTTTCCCCAAATTCCTTAAAAAATGTATTTTTATGAGATATATAAACTACTATGACATACAAGTTTTCTTCTTCTCATCTACCATGGCTGGGAATGGAGCAGCTTTAACCTTTCCTTTAACTGCATTTCTAGATCTACAGTTCTCTACTGCCCTGCCCTCAGATCCAATTCAAGATTTCTTTGTAGTGAAAAAAGACTGAATTTTGTTGTTTTAAAGATAAAGGGGATGAGCTGAGTTGTGGTGTCTGGCATGGTCAGAGAAGCAAAAAGGCAGCTTGGATTTTTTTACTGCCCTCGGAATCTCTTCAGGCACTTTCCACTGTCTTTATACCTGAAGTAGTTCTGGTTGCTCCAAGTCATGCCACAGCTGATTGCCTTCTCTGCCTCTCTGCCCTGCCAGCTGGTGTCTGCTATTTTCGCTTCTGCAGTCACCTATAAAATGTTCCGCCCATGTGGAAGGGAAGCTGGATACTCAGCACACTCCAAGTCATGGAACAATGCTCCCTTTTTGGCAAGATTTTACTAACCTGCCGTATTAGCGAGATAAATATTGACATCCCTCAGCTCTATCTGTCTTTCTCCCTCTTTTCTTTACATCCAGCTGCTTCATATATGGAGTCAGGCTCTCTCTTGCCTGCTAATCCTGGAACCGCTGTCCTGTGCAAATCACTGCCCACATCCTGACTGCTGCAGAAGTCAAAGGTCCTGAGTCTTACCTGGGCCACACACACATCTCTCCTCTTACTTCAGCTAGTGAAATCTTCGAAGCACCTTTCTGTTATGCTAGTCTCACTACCATGCAGACTGTCTTCTCTTTTTCCTTGACTTTCTTCTTCTTTCCTTTGTCTTCCTCTGAGATGCATCCTACAAAAACACCTTGTTTTTCTGAAAATAACAAGAACATTCAAGTAATTGAAACACTACATGCTTCAAGTCTATTAGGACTGATTCATGAAGTGAATGAGTGGACATTAGGGCTCTAAGAGATTTCTTCCATTCTGCAAACTGCTGTGTGATTATGCAAAGCTGTTCCTTTATGTCTTCTGCCAGGCAAAATATGTAGACACTTTTCTTGCCTTTTGGAGGGGAAATGCTGTGCATGTGCATAAATGCTCTATCTCCTGCTTGAATTAAAATGAGACCTCACAGAGCTAGTAAATTGCACAGTGCTGGGCTGAGCAGACTGGCAGCTCAGAACAGCCTCATCTCAAAGCACATTGCTTGTCTCAGCAGCAAGGCATCCTGGAATAGGCTTGCTCTGGTTTCTGGTCTGTAACTCATTGTGTAAATGCCAGCCAAATTAAAGCAAAGCAGATGGGACAAGTCATTTGAAGATTAATGAAGCTAGCTGCACTAAAAATTAACTTTAGAGATGTCTTTTAATGGAAAGGATCCTTTCTGGCTCATAATAACTGGTCAAAAGGAAAAGGACAAGCAGTAAGAACAGACAAAACTTAGCAGAACACACCTACAAATAGTTATGGAAAGTGATAAACTTTTTAGAGTTAATCCTCATTAAACTCCATTAGCAGTCTCAAAGCCTTCATTTCTTTCCAAAGTTCCTATATTGCTTTCTGAATTTTACCATTTCTCTTAAAATGTAGAACAAGCAAACATTAAAGAAGTGATTATTCACAGTGCAGTCTGCCGTGACATTTACAGTTGCCACAAAACTTTTCATAGCTTTGGCTGAACAGTGATATTTTACTTTGTATTACTGGCTGTGCCTCCTTTGAAAGTGAAATGGCTATCAGGAATCAGTACTGCACGCAAATTATTTTTGTTTTATCTATACAAAGATGCAGGCAAAGCCACCCCTATGAGTGCCTCTCTCCCTGCCAATTCACTGATTCCTGAAACTGGTTTTCCTAGTGCAAACTCTCAGCACTGACCAAACACTTACAGACTATCCTACAGGGTTTTAAACATGGAGATAGGAACTAGCTACATATTTGATCTATGAGCGGGGAGTAATACAGGTGTAGCAGAATGATATAAACACAAAGTCTTGGCATTACATTGGCAACATGAGCTCCGTGAATGAGAAGAGCACAGTCTTCTGACAGAGGCCAGGATTTCTGAACTATTGGATTGCTTGATCTATTCACCCGTGTACAGAAATGGCAAATGCCATACTATTTTTCCAAGAGTAAGACCTGCCATTTCAGGGAAGAAGTACATAAATCTCCAAGATTTTTAAAAATAAAAGATAATTAAACTGCAATATTTGGAGAGAGCACATTGTTATCTAGGCTGGTCTTTATATAGGGACTCTTCTGTAAGTAAAATTTGTAGGCTATATAAAACTTTCTTAGGGATGATTTTAAGTAATGACTGTAAGTAATGTCACAAAGAGACATACAACAACAACATAAAAAAAAAACCCTCTTTTTCTCGAACCTGAAGTCATTAGATACCAGGTAAATATGCCTGTCTGCAGCCATTTCTCTGGTGTTGCTCTGAAGAGAGTCATCTTAAAAGGCAAACATGTATTCAGTCAGAGAAGCTTTCATGATCTTTTCAGTTCTGCAAAGTGCTTGAGACCATGTTTCAGTCCCTTGCCTAAATGCTTTATGAAAGAACATAACTGAAAACTTTTTCTTATGGCCTTACTCAGTCTGGTCCTAAACAGCCACCCTATCTGGTCCTAATAGCCACAAGTGTAGCTTATATAACCAGGAATGGTGCCTATCCAAATGTCATTTCATTATAAGAAACCTTGGGAAAGTAAGAGTTTGATATAATGTGGCATATTTCTGAAACATACAATCTGTAAAAATAGAATGTAGTTTCTTGTACTGGCTACAGACAATAAATTCTTTTAATACAAGTTCCATAAAATCAGAGTGCTTAAAAGTTGTGATATCGATCCATTAGATGTAAAACTGATGCAAGGAAATTTCACCAATCCTGTGTTTCTGGGTCCAATGAATACAGATCATTTCACACACTCAAGGCTAGATATTTTGTCTCCCAGGCTCCATAATAATGTAAGTGAATATTTTGCTTTCCTGGAAGATGCACAGGGATTCTGTAAAACTCCTACTGGGCTGAAAACATTACATACTCCAAAGTATACCCAGTTAAACGGTGTGACATGAATTCACTCCATCATCATATCTGCATGGTTGAAATAAGTCTGCCAATAGAGACATTCATGAACTACACATCAGGTTATATCAAACTATTCTATAAAACAAGGAAAACATGAAATTTAGAATTGTGTATAACATTACGAGGTTTGTAAGGTAGACTTGAGTACACTGTGTCAAAGTTTAACTTAGTTTATAAATGATTCCATGCAGGAATGGTTCGTGATAATGCAAATTATTAACTGAATTTTTGACATTTATATGTCTATTACGAAGGCTTTCAGAGTTGGCTTGATTTCTACAACAGACTGTTATTATAGCACTTGCAGTGACATCAAGAACAGGACTTCAGCTTGATCTTCTTCTACAGATCTCATTACAGATTCATATAAGAAAACAACTAACACGTGCTATTGCCATGGAAACAAGACGGAATATCATGAGGCAGTATAGCCCATATTCCAAAATAGAGGACAACGTTGGACAATTATAGCACAAGACTGAGAGGCTTTTACTTCTAACCTGTGTGGATCAAAGCAAAACGTAGCTCCCTCTCTTTGACACAAAATTCTTCAGTACAGTTTGCACTGCTGGTGTCAGGCTCCGGTTTCATTTTGTGAACATGAAAACTCCAACTAGTTAGTTTAGATTATGTTTTATGGAAGGAGAGAGGTTGAACAGGGACAGAAACATCACAGCAGGTGCAGAGGTGTGCTGGTGTACAAGGAATAGGCATCACAAAATTGACTGAGCAGTAAGTCAAGTTCAAGTCAAGCAATACTGATAAAACAGGTAAGCAAAATCACTGGAAGCCAAAACAGCTGGTATTTCATTTATAGAAGAAGAAGGAGTAATTCCAAATGCAATGGCTATCCAGTATCAGTGGCCAGAACAGAAAGGATAGCATTTCTTGTGACTTGCACTGACTAGCACTGAGCACTACTGAAGTAGCATTTCAGTGCCAGTGGCACTTGCACTGAACTCGCCCAATTTCTCATCCTCCCTAGGCATTCAAATACTTTTGGACATCCTGGACATACTATAGATATATGTGTAGAACTTGTAAGTAGACTAACTTCTCAAGCTTCTGCTTTTGACTAGAAATTGAAAATTGAACTTGAAAAATCCTTTGAGCCATTTAGAACAACTCTGATCTAAAAAGAGTTTTGACTGTTGTCTCTGGCTACAGAGTGGCAGCTAGTCAGTCTGTTTGATGCTTTGTGTTTGGTAATACCAAACATTACTGGAGATTCTATACTGATAGAAGCAAGAGCTTAAAGGGAAAAAAATATCCTTCCTGTAGAAAGGATCTATGTGCTGGTTCTACCTTCAAGAAACAATCTCATGTCCCAACTGAGGGTCAACAAAGTGCTCTACTGGAATCCCTTCTAGCAAAATAGCTGTGGACAAAACATGACTCAGAGGAGAAAAGCAGAAATATGATTTTAAGGAACATTAAGCTTTGGAAGGTTGTACTAAGGTAGCAGTTTGCCATGACAGAGGTTACTGTGAGCTTCAAAAACTTTTAAGAGAATGATGCAAGATGTGAAAAGGAAAAGTATTACAGTGTGCAAATATCATGTGATTGTTCTTAGTACATGAGGCTTTGGGAAGCCTTCCAATGACTGAATATGAATGTTTGTGTGGTATTTAATTATTATAAACTCACAAATTGTCATCCACTTCAGGAGCTCATGATTCTGCCAAGTTAAACATCTTCATTGCTAGGTTAAGCTCACAGTTTAAACTTTGGTTCATTCTTGACTGATTCTCTTTTGATTTCAAAAACAGAATGAAAGACAGTGAGAATTTGGGAGAAGAACTGGAATGCGATATGAATTCTTGATTCAAAATTTTATTTCCAGTAAAACATACAAACTTTAATAATAGAGAGCACTTCTTATGAGAGCAAAATACCAAACATTGTTAGAAAGAATACTGGTTTGATTTTTGCAATAAAACTAAGGAAAGAGATAAAATTTATTATCACACCAAAAAATTAGAATATAAGGATTTTTTTTCATCGTTGAATATAAATTTTCTTTCCTAACAGTCAAGTACAAGTCAGTGTAGTCAACAACTCAAGTAAAATCACTTTTTTTTCCCTAAGCCTTTTCCTTTTTTTTTCTTTTGGGCATCCTGGCTTTTCTTCTCTTGCTCTGCTTGCAGGGCTGCTTCACCGGCTGCCAGTGCTTCTTGTTTGCTGAGCTCAGCCTCGAGTAGCTGACTTCTGTAGGCGTCCCGAACAGTGAGAATTCGGCCTCGCGTTTCATCTAAGGATGCCTAGCCAAAAAAGAAATCAAAAAGCAAAAGCAGCAACATCCCCACCAACGCATGGATGTTGATTTCCTCACAGGGAACTGCATCCTTTTTAAGTTTTTATGTTTTCTGCATCCTTTCACTATGTTTCACATTGTGTCACTGCTACATGATGTTGTGGGACTTGGTAGGGCCTCTCTGCTTTTCTTTTCACCTGCTCATGCATTTTTTTTTGATTGTCACAGTATCACAGCTATGTATTACAGTCTACCTTTTCACCATGAGGAAGAAGAGAAAGTTCATGAATTTTTTTTTCAAATTACTGGCATAATAAGCTAATTGTGTAGGAGGCAGAGTAGGGCAGCAGATTTGTTACCCATCTGGATCTAGTCCTGATTCAGTTACTAACTTACATTGGCTCCTAAGCCACTTCAGTACAGCTGAAAATTAGGTCTTAAAGGAGTTAAGATGACAAAGTCCCATTTTGAGAAAGGCATAAAGGAGCCTAAATCACACTGACCTTCAATGAACCTTAGGCCAAATGGGACTTGGGCTCTTTTAAAAGCTTTACCCTTACTTTCCACCCTGGACAATGGGGAAAACCTGAATATCTTTGTGCAGTTCTCTGTGATCTACAGATGAAGATACTGTAAAGGTGCTGATCAACACAGGATAGGTATCCACAAGTATCTTTGATTCTAAATTCTTACTGTAAAACATTTTCAATAGTCATGCATTCTAGAAAGAGCTGAGGCCCTCCTCTGAAAAGAAATTGATCTTCTAGTATATATTGTGTTAGGCATCGGAAACTATAGTAATACCTGAAAACCCTGACATGTATTACTATTAGGGAATCAGCAAATCACTAGTAGAAGACCCTGGCTCCTTGCAGGGTTCTAGTTAAGTACTATACATGAATCTGCCTGGGAACTTGCTAAGTTGTTTTCAAGTGATTGCTATACATTACTTGGTCTAATTTAAACTTATTTTTATTGTCTCTTATCCAATTTTAGAAGCTCTGGAGAGGGGCCAGTCAAATTTTAAAGGTTATCATTTCACCATTGTGTAACAAAAATGTTTGTTTCTGCTGGCTATCAAGGCATAAGCCAATTTTGTTAGGATATGTTCACCAATATTATTGCTTAAATTAATGTAAAGGATGCATCATGCACAAATCTTATAAAATTTACTATTTGTGGCCATGTTTCTTTAAGGATTAATAGTTCTACCTATTTATTTATTAGCTTTATGAATGTTCCAGGAAGACTGATACTGTGCTGTGTCTCTGAGCTGCTAGACATTTTAGGAAGGGCTCTACATAAAGAGAGCCTACATACCCTTCTACATAAATGCTCATGTTCCCTATTACTTTCCAGAACAGCATATACAGTTCTACAACAGAAAAATAGCCAAACTTTATCTGATATGTGTCTGGTCATATATACCAAATGCTCAAATTATTTTCATTGCTGCTATGGTGATATTCTTAAAATAGCACTGTTGCAAAGAGCTATACCAGGAAATGTACTGAGAATATCATATTAAGAATGTTGTATAGCACTGTATTTTTTCTAGCAGCTTCAGTTTTAACTTTTGCCCAAGTGAAATTTCAATCTGTTACATTTAGTTAATTTGGTTAATTACCAATACGGTAATTGGTAGTGAATACAAAAGTCTTGAGAATGGTTATCTATTTTAAAACAAGACAGTTGTGTTAACGCTGGATATCATTAACAGCTACACCTACCTGCAGATTCTCATACATTTCAAGTATATTCTGCTTCAGTAAAGTTCTAGAATTTAGTTCTTTTTTCCTTTCTTCCAAAGCCAGCTCTCGAAGTTCTCTAAAATGGTTGATTTTTTCTGCTTTATGGATCTCTTGCTGCTGAATGACAGACTCAGTTCTTAGAATAGCCTCAGACAATGTTTTTCTGTAGGAAACACAAAGATATTTGTCTCAGTTCAAATTACGTTTTGGGAGGTATTCCTATATACATACGTTTGCCTTACATACTGCAATGCAACGACGTAAATACAGCTAAGCAGTTACTTTTCCTCTGCTTATACAACACAGTGAGAAAATATACATTTCAGTGTCTATTTTAAAATACTTCTAAAATGATGCTGATCTTTGAGTATGTAAGATCAAATGAAGTTCATTTTTAATTTGCAAGAAGCATCTTATTTTCAGAATTCTTTGATATTAGGGTAATTCCACATTGAAATAAAACCTTTTTTTTTTTTGACATTGGCATATTGGCAGCAAACTGGATAACATATTTTTATAATTTGTCTTAAATGACTTCTATAAAATTTAAGGAATTGAAGACAAATGAAATGCTTACAAGACTCAAGCCTGTGAAATATATTTCATGCTGTTTTCTACTGTTTAATGTAATTCACTTCAATACAAAGTCATTTTTTTAAAAATTGAATTCAAAGAATTACTGAGCTGGTTTTAAGGCCTTTGGAGAGTCAATGATTTGCACAAATGTCCCCTGAATACAAATGGGCATAAACATGAACTGTAGTACAGAAAACACGGAGATGTGTGTTATGTACATAACTTTACAATAACATATAGGATAAATATAATTATTTTGAATAAAATATAATTATTATAAATATTTCAATTATTAAATATGATTATCAGTTGTATTTTGTTAAATACATTATTTGTTTCTAGCATTACCTGCTGATGAATGTCATATGCACTTATTTCAAGATGAGCATTTAAACACACTGGCCAGCACATGCATTTTCTTCAAATTTTTATGTCTTACTCTCATGACACACAGAATTAATTCAGCTCCTTTGACATGTGTCCTGTCTTCAAGGACACAAATTCTAGTGGGATGTATGAAGGTACACATATGAAAAATTAAAATATAATAACCACATCCAGGTGGCATCTACGCCTCTACTATGTGGCATTCTTTACTATGTGGTTTTGTCTGCACATCATAAAGGATGGATTAAATGCAGACCAGGATTTCCATGCCAAGTTTAATAACTATGTGATGGAAATGTAGCTCCATCAAAGAAATGTAAAAGAAGAGATTAAATTCACATGTATAATAGCATATATTCCTCCAGGTAAGAATGAGTTACAATTGCATAAACAATATATTGCCTTTACAAATTCTTATATATCAGAATATTTCAGTAGTCTTTCATTTCTGTGCTTCACTAGCATTTAATCGTACTTGCTGCAATTTACCTCATGTAGACACTATAATCTATAGGCTCCCATTCTTTTTGTTGCATTTGTAAGGTTGAGTCTATAATTGGTTGTGATGTTTTTTTTCCAGTGGTAAGAGAATCTGCAACAAATAGATTAAACTCATTATTCAGCTGCACTGAGAATTTCTCCTTTTGTGTTTTTATATAGTTTTTTTCCTATTTTGTCTCAGCAAAGAATATTCTTATATATAGGTAGGTTATATGTATATGTAGGTTAGAAAAAACATCTTATTTTTTATTTTCAATACTCATGACAGAATTAAAGTAGCTGCAACAAGTATGTCAGAGGGAAATGTATATATGTGCCTTAGCTAAATCCACGTTACTCTTGAAGCAGTGAAAATATAACTAAGTATACCCAATTTAAAATGGTTAAAGAACATGGGAACTACTTTTGACCAGTAAAGAATCGTGTTCATTTAGGGAAAAAAAACAATTAAAATCTGAATGAAAATTCTTTGGGTACAGTTTAAAAATTATATTAACCTTTGGGCAGAGATCTAGTTTGGGAAGTACCAGATTAAATTTAAAAAAGTGCAATGTGTAGGAGTAGATAAAATGAGTTGTTAAAAAAGCCTAAATGTCTATGATTGAAACAGGTTCCAAACTTGTATAAACTCAGATTCCAGGTTTACAATTAATTCCTTCTTTGTAAAAGATGAGTGCAAAATTTTGATTGTAATTTCCCTCAAAACATGGTACTGAATTCCTGACATAGATGTTGTAGCTATGGTCCATCTCTAAATTTTAATATTTAGTCTTTAATAAAAAGCTAGTCATTACATTGAATGCTTTTTCCTATTTCTATTACCCATATGTGTTAATCGTTAAATGAAAAAGAACTGTCAGATCAGCTACTACAGTATAACAATGCTAAATGGAAATGTTATGATCTAAAATTGACAACCTGGAGAATTTATTTTTAACAATACGGATAATAATAATGTTATGTATCCAATAGTTAAGCCTTTAATGTAGCATTCTCACAGTATAATAGCTTATCTGACATTGTTTGCCACTGTATTGAGTTGTACTATGATATTTCAAGGCTTCCTTATTTCAGTTTGACTGGATATGTTGAAAAGAGTCTGTGAAATCTTATGAGATTTAATGATGATAATAGCAGTTAATTTCCTTGAAAAAACTTCTATTACCTTATTTACTGCAGTAATCAATGAAAACTCTAAAAATATTATTGTAATTTTATCTCTAGCAAGAGGAAAGTGATATGTAAGCATTAAAAAAAAATGTATTCCTCTAATTAATGAATGTTTGTGACAAGGTTTACAACTAATCTTTCTGGTTGCCTGTTTTTTTTTTTTTTTTTTTTTTTTTTGGAACACTTGGAAATGCATCACATACATGAAAAACTATAGTTAAGTGCAGTTAGTTTCTATGAGCTTTCGTGTTCACTTGTGCTCTAAAATTTTATCTATAAAAGACAATGACAAATACTATCAATAAGTGACAAGAAAGAAAAAATAAATTGAATTTTGTCTTAAGTCACAAAACTATAAACACTTTCAAGACATCTTTTTATTTTAGATTCAAATGGAATTGCAGATTTGAAGATCCATTCACAGACAGTACTCTGCCGGCAGCATTGCTGGTGAGGATTATGAAGGGTCATGGGAGATCAAGCTAACAAACCACTGACATTAATTAAATGCTAAATGGGACTACTAAGTGTGGACTACTTATGGGAATACTAACTTTATTTCACTTTGATAAATATAAACAAGCCTTTGCACATACTGATTTTCAGATGCTAAACAAATTTTTAGTATTTCTACACTAGTGACCTCTCTTAACACACTTGGAATTGAGGGAGTGTTTTTCAATGAATTTCCAAAAATGTTCCAAGTTAATTTCAAGTTACAATTCTAGTACTAGAGGACTGCCTACAGTTTGCTTCAGGATAACCTGGCACAATCCAAGCACCAAAAGAAACAGAACAATTAAAGACAGGACCACAGAACTGCTGAGGTTGGAAGGCATCTCTGGAGATCAGCTATTTCAAATCCCATTCTCTTTATGCCCTCTCATCAGATATTAGACACACTGATATGAACCCCCTCAGTCTTCACTTCTTCAGGCTGAACAGACCCAGGTATAACAGTCCTTCCCTATATTAAAGATGCTCCTTAACAATCTTAGTAGTCCTTTGGTAGAAGCCCTGTAGTAACTCCATGTCCTCTTGTATCAAGGAGGTGAATACTGGACCCAACACTTTACATGAGCTTGGCAGGGTTGACTAGAGGGGAACATAACCTGCCTTTACCTGCTAGTAATGCTCCTCCTTACACTCAGGATAATGTTGGTCTTTGCCACAAGGGCATTATATTGCTGGATAATGATCAGCTTGCTGTCCACCAGGACTCACAGCTCCCTATCTCAGGAACAGAGATCATAGAGACAAATCATGCACCTTTACCAGGGCTATTCTTTCAATTTACTACCAGTATTTCATGCAAAAGGCTTTTCTAATATTCTGAACAGGCTATGAAGAATGATTAAAATCCTACTGTCTATCTGTTCAACCTCTGCTAAAACACATGCTATGAAATGTATAAGCTATATTTGAGAATCAGTGGTAGGAACTTTGGAACTGTGATAGCTTACCCATTTTAATTTGTGAACATTTTATCTTTCAAGTGATTAATCTCTTTTTAAATATTTAAATTATGATGCTTACAAACAACAGGAAATGCTTAACAGAAAGCTATACCCTTACCTCTTTCTCCTGGACTAGGTGATAAACTTTTGATCTCAGTCTCAGCTATGGGTTCCTCTGAACTTTTCACAGCATACTTATTAATAAACTGTATGCGTTCCTGAAAAGCCTAGAGAACAAAGTTTTGGTCCAGATCAGAAGAATTTTACTGAATACTTTAAATCTCAAAGATTTTTCAAAAGTAGGAAACTAAGTGGTCAATAAGATAATAGGCCTTTGAATCCAGTGCATGTTTCATTCAAGTTGAGATATGATACTGCTTTTTTATTGCAGGTAAGTGTACTTCATTGGTAAGATCTACAAAAACATGAACTATGACAAAAGGGTGTATTGTCAGTGAGTAACTGTGAAGTATGGGCAGGGAGAGGGAAGGAAAGATAAACACGACAGGACTTGTTTCATGTTACAGTCATACTCAAGGTATCTCCGGATTAGGATTTTTTTTTTTTAAATAATAACTTGTCAATATTAAATATCCAATTTATTATTTTGGAACTTTTTTAAAATTTATTTTTAATGTGTTGTATTGATGAGAAACAATCACTAGTAATTTACGCCAAGGGCATCACGAGCATATTTGTAAGAATAGTTAAGCTAACCTTTCTGAGGTTAACATCTCAATAAGATGGAAAGTATGCAAAGTACCATTTTAGGCTTCAATTCTCTTTAATGTCAAAAGCAGGTACCTCCATATCACCAAAGACTGTCTGTCTTCTTTAAAAGTTGATCTGAGCTCCAGGCTTTCTCCTAAGGGCTCAGACTGCCAGAATGAACAGAGGCATCAAGTGTCATCTAAAAGTAAGGCATCTAATTCCCACTGTTATAGGGCACATGACCCAGGAAATGGACAGATATTTGAGGCAGGGAGATCAAGAAGAAAGGAGAAGGGAAATTACTTAGTACATTTAACAGACCCTCAAGTGAGACATTTGTTAGCATATTACATGTGGATGCTGCAATTTTCTTAATGATAACTGTTCAAAAGGAAGCCATAGGCATAAGAGGCATTCAGAATGGAAGACTTCAACTGCAATTCAGTTGAATTTAGTAAAAAAAGGCAAATAGGGTGACAGAACCAGCATTTTGAAGATACTCTTTACACATCAAAGGAAAGTCATTTCCAGATAATCTTAAGGACATCACATTTACATTTTTAGTTGCAGCACAGTCAATCAAAGCTGCAGGGAAAGGCATTGCTCCTTAGATCAAAGTTGAATACAGTGCTCTCAGAAAATTTTGGGAGGTTCACATACACAGAGCAGAAAAAAGAAAATCTGGAATTGGGAAGATTCATGACTGGGTTCATTTCTGAAAGTTCATAAACAAAAGACAAAAGGTTCCTAAGCTGGGCTAATGAGCATTGGTGAAGGTGGTGTAAGGGGATGAATTTTAGATATACTCTAAGACTGATTTTTTTTATATAATATTTTTCCTGCTTTGAATCAGCAGTTTAACCTTTTGCTTCACTAGGAATAGTTTAAATTATTTTTTCCATCCTAAGCAATCCTGGTGTCAAAAATAATACCAGATGCAGTGGACACATCTGAATTAGTATTGCTCCTCCAGAACAGTGAATTCATACAGAGAAGCAGGTACAGGACAATTTGAGTGATGATATGGCCTAGCATCAGTTCTTCCACAAAAATCTTTCTGGCATGTTTATAATGAGATACACTGGCATGTTTATAGCCAGTGTATTTCTGGCTGGAGACAGCTGAACAGACAACCTGTCAATAGTGGCAGCTTTGCACTTGTGCAGTTAGTAGTTAGTTAGCAGAGTTAGTAGGTTGTCTGAAGCAACACTTTTCTGTTTATTGAAGAGTCTAAAGTCTTGGTGATCCAAAAAAGTGCAGAGTAGGTGATCTGGATTCTTGCCCAGAATTCATGCACATCAGCTCGTTTGATTCTTTAAAGTGTGTAAAATTCCTTGTCTTCCATAAAGTGGTGGTGAACTGCCTGAAATCAGATTCACATTGTGGGAAATGCTCTACCTTCACAACAACTCCTGGATTTATAACAAAGTTGCCTCAAAGATTAAGCTCTGATTACCTTGACTGCTCTTCCTGGCTCTGCAGACTCCCATGCTTGTTTCATGGCTTTGATCTCATCTGCTCTCTCAGTGTCCTTCTTCACTTCCAGAACTTCTGCCTCTTTCTGTTCACTAACTAGGCGCAGAGTCCAGTATGGTCTGCTTGAAGCAGCTTGCTGAAAGTGAAGTATAGTAAACATGAATAATCCAAATGTATTTGTTGATCTAAATCTATTATCACTATTTAGGATAAAGTCATGTTTTTGCATCCTGATGTCATTAGAGACTGACATACATTACTAGATACATAATATCTGCCAAAGGGGAGGAAAATCACCACCTCTAGAAGCTAAGATATTTTGTTTAAATGCTTTCCCTCATATTTATCTTCAAACATTGTCTCATCTTGAACCTTTCATCTGTGTAGTGGCAGACAGTAGATCTCCCAAGAGCTGTGATACCAGCGTGATTGGCATGCCCCAGAACTGCAGATGAAGGCAGAAACCTGGCATAATCTGAACTTGTATCATATCTTCATGGCCAACAGGCTCGAGTGCAGCGGCAGTCCTGACTACTCTGAAAGAAGGGCTAAGGCCCTTTTCCAGAACTCTGTATGATCAGGTGTACATGTGATTCATAAGGAGGGCTTGCATATTTAGTCAACAATCACAATTCAAACAATTTAGTAGAGATTTCTTCATTAAAAAGCTTTGTGGAGATGCCCCCTCCTTGAACTACCTTCCATGAGGCAGCAAAACTCCACGCAAAAGCAATACCAGCAAAAGCAAATTAAAGGATGAATTTTCAGTATCTTTTTGCCTTCTTTCAGTCCATCTGCAGTCCATATACAGTAGTCCTCTGGTCAACCATAGAACACTCAGACTATCCTACCACAGAGAATAAGAACTTGTAAGAAGGTTGGTACCCACTTTTTTTTTTCTGTCACTGTATACCACAAGCTAGTGACAATGGTAACAGACACTGAAGAAACAAGTGACAGGAATTTCATCTCTCTGTATTCCTCTGAGCACCTTACATCAAATGATTCTAATGAGAGTACCCATAAGGCAAAGCCATGGATCTGCATAGATAGAAACTAGACCTCAAAAAGGAACAGACCATGGTTTGCTTCACATTTAAGCAAAGAAATAAGTATGTAACATCTCTAAATGCATGGTATATACTTCACATGTGCAGTTAATGTTTCTCAGGTGTAAGACTAGGAAGGTGGCAGAGAACAGCATAGAAAAATATACATTTCTTGGATTTGTTCTCACCTGAGATTCAGATTGAGATGCAGGTGATCCTTTGTCTTTATTCCATTTTTCTTTTTCTGTCTTCTCAGTTGCTCTATCTTTTTGTTTTTTGTTGGTTTTAGGAGTACTTGTGGATTTTTGTCCTTCAGAATAATCAAACACTAGAGAAATACTGTGCTCCTCATTCTTTTCCCCATGTGCTATTCATATGTAGTTATGATGCATGATGAATTAGAGATATCATCATCATTCATAAGTTTATTTTCCCATACAATATCCAGGGTAAAACAGCAACGCAAACCAGGCACATGGAAAGAAAAAGAAACATCAGTTAATAGTTGCTCGTACAACAGTTACTTCAAAATAGCATCACACTAAAATTGTTAGACTAGGAAAGGAGTTGGGGACCAAACTTTCAAAGCCAGGCTTTCAAGGTGGTCAGCTTCAGGCATCTTTATTTGTCCTAAATAGCACTGTACCAAGGATTAGCTGTGAGATTGCTATGATCTCTTCATATCAATCACTGCATTGTTTCCTTGTGTACAGGTCAGACCAAAAAGACTGCAATGCACAAAGTCATAGTGTGAATCTCGACTCTTTTATGTAGTCTGCATAAATCTCTATCACTGCTATGCACCAAGGCAAGTGAGAAGCTCAAAGCAGGTAACGTCAATGTTCTCTCTTGTCTCACACCTTAGTGAGTCTGAAAGAGTGCAGAGCAGAAGATGCATCATAAACGAAAGGAAGTGAAGGTGAAGAAACATATATGAGATTTGATACATATTTAAGAAATTCAAAGTGATCAGTCTCAGACCAATCAAAACAGATTTTGGATCAATTATTTAATTAGTACCTGTATATGTTATGTATATGAAACATGTTTAAGCTAAGGATGCTGAGAACTCACATTCCTAAAATTTGCATTTTGCCTTGACTTAACTGGTGGGAGCTGCTAAGATTATATGCATGATATGTTCTTGCTTAAAAAGAGGAATAAATAAAGAGGGTTGCAATAGCATATACCTTTAATTTCATAAGAAGCATGGCATTTGAAACTGCCTGGGCTAGATGCACAACTGTACAAGAAAGATTAAAGATCTCAATCTGAAATCACAGTTTCACACCAACTTTATATGGCCTGAAACATGAAAGTAAATGTCAAAAACCTATAAGTCAGCACAAGCAAAAAGGTGATTTTTCCTGGAAAAATAGGAAGTGAGTGACTGGCTTAGAATCTGACAATAATTAATATGCACCTTCACTTAATGATATGCTCTTTTATTCCCTCTTCACTTCTGTGCAAGATTTGATCCCAAGTTCACTGAAGATTTTCCACTGAGATTTGGATCAGATCTATAGTGTCATGCCTGGGGCTATATAAAAATATAAAACGGTAAATATAAAACCTGCACATTGAAGCAATTTAAACGTAGCACGGTCATATCATTACATGCATGTTGGTACATTATTTAAATAGCATGAGGGGATAAAATAATAATTTATACAATTGATATAAAAATATATGTGTAATAAATAATATACACATATATCACATTTGTGCCTTATATGTTCATTATGAATAAAAACATATTTAAATAATGTACCAACATGCATGTAATGCTACCAACATACTGCGTTTAAACTGATTCAATGGTAAAAATCATATGTCAAAGAATGAAAGTAAAAATGTATATGGTCTCTGAAAATATTAAGTTAATGAAATAACTGCAGAGGAAACGCAAATTTAAAATAAATACTGGCAGCATTACTTGAAATTATAATATCATTACATAAATGGCTTTTCATTTAGTTTGACATTATCATAGCATATTAGCACAATAAATCAGGCTTGTGTTTATGCATTATTCAGTGAATTATTAATTTTTAAAGATAAGTTATTGTTTATATGAACACTCAAGAGAATTTTCATTAGTGAAATGATATTAGATAAAAACTTCCCATGTCATAGCATACCACAGACTTTTGCTGGCTTTTATAAGGATTTTATAACTCTGATTCTTAACATTTTAATGCTGTAGGCATCTCTGCTTCGGGACATTGCTAAATAGCAAGTGAGCTTATGAAACACCCCTGCATGACCGTTCTGCTTTAATTCCTGGTATGGAGGCATGGAACAGGATTCAGCTCAGCTCTCTCAGCCAAGAGTAAGCTGCACAGCCCAGGTTGCCCCAGATGTCCTCCCTGCCTTGGTAGCCAGGAAAGTCCCACCTCTTTGGGGATCATCCTCCAGAGATGTCTGCAGTGACACTGGATGCAGCCCAATGCAATGTCAGGGAGATGTGAATAGTTCCTTGGGGCTATTCCCAAGGCCAAATGTTTTGTACTGAGATAAGGTAAGAGGAAACAGGGAGAGATAACAAGGAAAATAAAAGACCATGGCTGGAAAAAAGATGCTGTGATTAGTTAGCCTTAATATAAAACTTCCTCCAGGTGGCACTGTTGCCTTATGTGAAAAAGCAGTCTCTGAAATTTTTATCTGAAAGATTTTTTTGCTGGAATTTTCCACCTGGCTCACTGCATCTTAAAAATCACATGGTGAGAGGATGTCCTTTGGGCTTTGTGCCAACACTGCTATTATATGAATTATGTGTTTGAAAACTGGTGCTGACAAAACAGCCTAAAATGGTAAAGCTTAGTTTTCAAATTGCTTTCCTACTGGTTCACAATTAGAAAACAATTCAGTGATTAAATGCTGTTTTGTTACAAATATCCAGTCTGCAAGTCTTCCTGCTATCTAAAGTAAGAATTCCAGATAAATATTACTGTTTGCAGCATTATATAAAATAAATGCTAAGCAATAAATACAATAAATATTAGCATTTCATGCTGTTTTAAAACTCTGTTGGTGACCTTTAACCTGGGCAAACTAGTTAATGACCCAGACCCAGTTAATGTGAAATGCAAAATGGATGTGGTTTACTTTGAAAGGCAGGAATTATGAGAGGATAGAAGTCTCAGCTTTTAAAAGGGATCCTAAGAGAAAAGGGCATCTCATCACTGACAGCTAGCTTGAGCGTGGCTGATGATAAATAAGCCAGTTTAAATGGCGAAGGGCAACAGGGAACTGGAAAGCTTGCACTCACAGGAACACGAGAATACTCACATTGGTAATACTGACGGCCTTCAATAATAACAGCTGAGAACTTGCAAAGAAAGCTGTAGTTTAGCTGACCTCAAACCATGGTGGAGTTATTTGAAAGGCTATACACCAGTAGTGAGATTGGTATGCTAAGTACAAGTTAGTACTTTGTAATCAGAAGTATAACATATCGTAACAGAATGTGTATTGTATAAACTAATCTATCATTAAAAGGAAAAACCTATTAGGAAAAGTCTGTAATCAAAAGGAAAGTGAGAATAAATGCACCTAGGAAGCAAAGATCTTGTGAAGAATGTAAATCATTAAAAGCTGATGAAGCAAGTGCTTAAAAAGATGTCTGTATATAGATCTGTAAGGTTCCATGCCATTGCTCCTCAAATATGAAAACTGAGTGGGGACTATAGTAAAATAACAATATGCATTTTTGTAAAGTTCTGGACCACTAGCTGAAAAAGAAATGGAAAGATCTCAAATGCCACCTCATCTGTAAAACAAGGAAACAAATAAAATATATCAAAAATAATTGCTGACATATCTAAACTCAGTCCTAGGAAAAGTTAAACCCAGTTTACAGAGCCTTCTGCTCCACAGAATATGCAAACTCTTTTTCTAGCCTCTCTAGTCCTTTGCAACTCAGCCTCCTCTTACTTAACTACTGTTTACTGTCATTACTTCAAACACTTCATCTCTACTCTGCTCTTAATAAAACAGAAGAACAATGGGCCATCCATGACTCGATACAACCTGCCCCATTTGCACACAAGCAGATGGCATGACATAACATAACATGACAAGTTCCCATACCAACAAGCCAGATATCAATCTACATTTTTGAGGCCTAAGTTCTGAATCTACATATTGAGACTAAAACCATCAGCAGCAATAACTAATAAATAATAAACCTAGTAGTATTTAAATTAAAACTGAATGCACGAGTTCTAAGCAGAGTTGATCCTGAAAAAACATAATAAAATAAGACAGATTTTTAAATATATTAAGAAGGAGGTTAATGTGACTTGAAAGTAAATGGAATATATCCTTATTTAGAAATACTTGTCAACAAGCAAGTAGAAAACCAAAAGAACAAATTTTCACTTAGGTCAATTACACACATGGCGACGCAGTCAGTACTTAGGTGGCATCTATTTGTTGAACAATAGAGACTTTGTGCTTTTGCTGTAACAAATCACATGATGAGAGAGCATTATTCTGTGTTACTCTAAGTTCTCACCAGGAAGGTGCTTTCAAACTCTGTAACTGAAGGTGAAACCTCAGCTCACAATTTAGCCCTTCAACCTAGTATTTAGCTAGTAAGTACTATTTACATTTATTTAAATAAATTTAAATAGTAAAATAAATTTAAATAGTAAATACTATTAAACAGTAAAAATTGCTAACATTGAGTTGAGACATGCTGCATACATGAGCTGTGAAGTTTATTCTTATATGGCCTAACCAAAACATAAAGCTCAAGTTGAAGGGTTCTTCCGCTAGAGATCTCCCATAATTTTGTTACTGCATGGTGAATTTTGCTCAGACTGACAAAATGCTAGATTAAAAAGGGTCAGATAAAAGAGTTTTTTTTTTCTGAAAGAAACACACTAAGTAGTACAATAAATTTCTTCCACTTCTGGAGTGTGTGGGGGTGTGTGTGTGTGTGAAGTTCCTAGAAAATACTAGAAAAATTCCCTGCAGCAGAATATTCAAACAATAACTGCACAAGTAAAAGGATCTTTAAAGGAGATACCTGTAACAAACTTGATAAACAGAGAAACATTAAAAAAAAATGAAATTTTGAAAGCAAATCACTGGTCTTCACAAACATTATTGCCTTAAATTGAAAGCAATGGCTATAACTTTAGAAAGTTTTAATTTTGTAAGAATGCCTGATAAATAACACTTTGTTTTTAGAGCATTTTAAAGTATGGGAGATGCTCATAAGTTAATATATTGACATGTATAGACTGAAAAAAAATCTTAAAAAATTCTCTTTTGTAAACATTTTCTGTAACCAGTAAATGCATCTATATTTAAGATCTAAATCTTTTTGCGACAGTCTCCTAGTTACAGTAGAAGCAAATCTGGGACATTTATTTAATTTCTAAGATATTTATTAATATCCTAATTACTTCTGGTTTTCTTTTTTTTTTTTCTAACACTTGTCAAGAAACTCTAAGATAATCTGGAAACAAAATATGTAGTTTCTCTGAATCTTCCTGTTTTTAATACATGACATATACTTGGGACTTTTCCTAGTCTTGCTTTCTGCCTGGATTTTTCTCATATCAGCAGAGAACTATATTCACATCCCAAAACAACTGGACTTTTGTTCCCCTTGTTAGTGTGTTTTCTTATGTTATCAGCAGTTATGCTTCTCTACCTTCAATAGCAACCTCTGTATTTGGATGCAGAACACTGTACCTTTATGTTACACTTGACAAGTCCTTCTGACTGTAGAAGCAGACATGCATGCACATGTATGCTAGTTGTCTTCCTAACGCTAAGCCTGAAGAACATTGTGTAGATTTTGCAGACCACACTGATTTCTCTTAGTTCTGAAGTTACAGAATCATGCAATCAAACTCCAGTTCTATGAACCACTGAGCAAATAGCTTTGTTGCTTAATTATTTCACTTTAGCAGTGAATAAAAGAAAAAAAATATTGTATGGTTTTGGCCATAAAAAAAACCATAACATGACACATTTGATAAACTTATAGTGACATACCTTTGGTTTCATTTTTCTCCATTTCTTTCCACTCCTGAACAAACAGAAACTCACTCTCAGTCAGTGGCCAACTATTATGTAACACTAATGCTTGTATAATATACTTGTGAAGCTGTGAAACAAAACATAACGTGTTAATAGGCTGGTGATATAACAATTACAGTAAGCATTTAAAAGTCCTATAAATAAGGAAACTGCTAGCTATGGAATTCAGCAAATGAAAAATGTAATCAATTTACAAGCTTTCACATTGCAGTATTCACACCAGGTTAACAACACAGTATTAAACGTCATAGTATTTTATTTTAATTCTTATAGAATTTAAAAAAAATGTTTAGCAAGCAAAAGCTAATCTGAGTTGTTGACGCTGCATTCCTTTAAAAACATCCATGCAATATTTTCCTGTGGTGAGCTGAGACAAAGAGTTTTGTCTTACATGTTAAGGCCTACTACAGCACTTAGAGCATCAATGCTAGCACTCATTTCTGACTGCATTTGCAATGGAGGTAGCAGGGTTCATAGGTTATTTTGTACATTATGTACATGGAACAGCAAATGATGCCAAAAGTCTTCATAAAAATTGTTTCTCACTCTAAAGCCAGTTCTGAATCAGTGGAACACCCATGGAGATTATATGTCAAGAATCATTTTTTTTCTTGAGGAAAATAAAATTCTTGCTTGTCTAGTAAAACTATTAAAGTTGACATTCTCTTAAATTAATCAACTCTAAAGTATCAAAAATCAAAAACTGAAGTATCAGCAGTTCAAGTTTATTACAGATGTTTCTTAGCCCTTACTTTAAAACTATGCTAGACTTGATTTAGAATTGGCAATGAAAAACATTTAAAGAGGGAAAAAACTCCTCAAATTGAAAACCATTATGTACCTGGGACCATGTGTTATTCATATTCATAAAGTATATTCATATTACTCTCCCTATATTGTTGCAGCTTCCAAATGGAAGAATCTTAGTTTTGAATTCCTTGTTCTTCTTATCTCAGAGTTATCAGAATTCCACATTTGTTTAAAAAATTATCAATATTCCCTCATCACTTTTCCCTCCAAATCCCTGTGATATGCAGTCCCTTACTAGCTGTGGACTTCCATTTCTCTTTTCAAAGCTTGTCAGAAAAGATTCATCATCTAATATATGTGGACCTTCTTGTACAAGTCCTGGCTTTAGAGAAGTTTTGGTAGTCTTGGGAGACGCAACATAACTTCGTTTTTTGGATATTCCAGTTTCTGCTTCTTTCTTTGTAGTACTGTGAATAAGCTGGGCTTTGCTTGCTACAAGAAAAAAACTCTGTGTTACATTTCCATAAAATCTATGAGTTTATAGCATGAGCAAAACAGATGCCACTAGAAACTATAAGAAAAAAAATTATTACAGTCAATTTCGTTATGTTGTGTTACGCTTACAAGGTTCCCTTTAAAATGTATACATGTCTGTATCTGCATGTACATGCATGTTAAGTGTATACATATATGTGCTCTGCGTATGTACATATTGGGCCTGCTCAGCCTTGCTGGTTGGTCTGGGGGACTTAGAGCTATAGTAGTCTCACCTCAATGAGTTTACCAGATTCAGGAAGCCCTAACAATATAGAACTCTATTTCTAATATTATCCAATACGATATTATAGCATCTAGTGTCATTATCTGTAATACCCATCTATCTATCTTACATGAATGGCTACTGGGAAAGGAAAGAGAATTCTAAAAGGGAAAATCACATTGGAAATTGAATAAGAGCAAAAAAGCAGGTTTATTGGAGTTACAGTAATAACAGCTTGGCCATCAACTGGGAAAGAGATAATACTTTTGACTTTACTGAGGATAGAACTGTTTACTTTTCACAAGTCTTATTGTAGAAGCAAAGGATGATATTGTTTCACTGCAACACTTCAGTATAAGACATATTCATGTATGTTGAGGAGATGTCCTGGGAAGTCTGGAAGAATTGAGAGAGGTATTATGCCAGATTCGGCAAATTTGATGGGAGATGGGCAAGTGTATCAATGCCAAACCAAAGATTAAGTATGCAGCGGGAAACTTCAATGGATTCAAAGACATTGTTTCTCAAGGAAGTCAAATGACAGAGATCATTGAGCATGCAGTATCTTTCTTCTCTATAGAAGTGGTCCCTATTTCCTAAGAAAATCCCTAACAGTTGGGAAATGAGCTTCAGAGGTATTTCTCTGAGATGCTTTGCAGAAACGCTTCATCCAAGATGTCTCAAACTCGTAATTACAAACTATGACTTGCTTTTCTCCATGACATTCAAAATCTTTGGCACCCAAATCATTCTCACTCAAATACAGCCTGTTTAGCTTTCTCTCATCAAATTCTTCATCAGAGGAAACCATAACCATGGGGCTATCATTCAAGAGAATTGCACTGGGATACTAAAGAAAGTGAGATTATTTAGAGATCAGGATCTTTTATGCTCCTCTGCACTCAAGTGAAAACCTTCTGAAAAGAAACAAGTCAGATCTCACTTGAAAGAATAATTCCACATATAGCCTTATTTGCATGCAGTTTCTGTTGAGCAGGAATTCCTCAAAACCTACTTAAGCACTATTATCAAGGGATACTGCAGAGAACTCACAAGAAATATCTTTAAAGCAGTGAGACAAACTAAAGGCAGACGCTTGTAGTCAACAGAGAGAGATAAGCTCCTCTGAAGGAGTGCTGGATTCTGGGTGTGTAGAGATCTGAACTACTCTCAGGAAGAGCTTACCTCTACTCATCATGGTAAGAGGGATTTAAGGACTGTTATCTTCATTGGGCTGTAATTGGTTTTCATGAATACCTCACTATCCTTCTCTTTTCTCTGTCCTAAATCTGAAGAGTGGAAGCACTTAAGAATTCTCTAGTGGTCAGAAGATGAGGTTGCTACAAAGACAGGTCAGCTCCAAGAGGTGGAATCCTGTGCAAGACTGTTATTCTGCCCTTGCTGAAAAGAGTAGTTACTGAAAAAGTTTCAAGCACAGTAATAGTTCTAGCAATTGTCACCAGGTGGTGCTGTAACATCAAATTACTCTCACTGTGGACATATATATATATATATATAAATATATATATGTAAATATATATATATATATATACAGTTTTGATAAGCAAAGTTCTGACTGAAAGGGCTCTGTAAGCAACAGGGGGATTCACCTCGCCTTGATTCTAGATTCAAGTAAGTGCCCAAACACAAACTACTGCATTGTATCAGGCTGATATTACTACGAAACTGTTGTTGCCCATTTCTGCTGTCATCATCATCAAGTCACACTTGCAGTATTTCAGTATGTTTTTTCTTTACAGGCAAGTGAATATTTTGGGACCAAGTCCTCCGCTATGTTTCAATATAAGTACATATATTAAAAATCAATTGGCTGAATGTAGCTGGAGAGAAATAAGAGACATTTATAAAACTGCTCCGACTTCAGAGGAATTAATGAATTGTGGATGGGAAAGGGGGATAATGTTTTCTTGATGATGCTTGCACAATCATGCCATTCAAGAATACTTCTGCCAACATACCAGTCAACTCTGCCTATGGCAGGGAGAAGTAGAATATGCATGGTATTGAATATACTTCCAACATGAGAATTGTGTCTTGGTTAACTTACAAGTTTAGCACTGTGGTGATCATTTCTGAATTTGCTTATTTAATTAAAACAAACTTTTTAGAAGCTAACTAGCTACTGACAGTATTAACATTGTTGCACTGGCTAGTCCATAAATCCCCATCTAAACTTGGTGTCGGCATTTATGGCATTTATGATAATATTGAATTATGTTTTTATTATACAAACCATCATTCCCAAGACAAAAGCAAAGCAATATTATACATAAAGGGTGCAGAACGCACCCTTTTAAATGGTTTAAAAATAGCAACATATTGTTTGTGTCACAGTAGACTAAGAAGGTAAAATACGAGAGAAAAGTCTAATGTTTGTATCTGATTTTATGTAAACTTCTCGAAGATTGTTTTGGAAAAGTTCCTCCCACCTATGCCTCCTGATACACCGGCAAATACAAAATATCCCTCTTAGTCATTCTAATTCAGTTGTTCCCTTCCAGGATCTGCTGGAACCCAGTGCTCTTCCTCTTCATCTGATAATACCTTTCAACTTCAGTCTTCAGGCTACGATTTTTACCAACATGTTGGGTTACTGAAATTTCCTTCTCTTTATTGAGGGAAACTTGACAATTTAGTTCAAATCTGTGATGCTGACTCTAATCTGAGCAGACTTCCTGCTTTTGTTTCCACCAGTTTGCTGTTATTAATCTATTCCCACATTCTAGTAACAATAACCAAAACCAGCAATTAACCATCACAGTAGGTCAGTCACATAGTTCTTAAAGCTTCTCCAATTCTTCCATTAAAAGCAGGACACTGGCATCTGATAGCCTATAATTTAAGAACACATTTTCTGCAGAATTTATTTCTGCCCTTCTGGAGATAAGAAGGTGTAAAGACAGAAATCACGTCATTTTATAAGCATGCCAAAATTGGATATTTTCTCTTTACAGCATTGGATACTTAAAACAAATCAATTTAAAAACATGTTAGAAGACTATACAACTCAGTGGTGGAGATGAATGCATGAAATATGAAGTGATTTTGAGCTTTAGCAAAACAGCAATGCAAACACAAGCAGAAACATTGCTTTATAAAAGTCTCATTGCTTAAAGGTCTTCATACAAGGACTTATGGCTTTAATATCTTACAAAATTGATGCACTGTGATGTCCATGGGACAGTACAGTAGCTGACTTACTAAGAAACTTCTGTGCTATTTCAGTAAACCTGGAATGCCTATAAAAAATACAGTTTCAAAATGAAATCCCTATCTGAACTTCAAAGAAAAAAAAAAGCAAACAAATAAAAAAAAAACAAAGAACAACTTCAGAAGCACATTTTCAAGAATACTGCTGATTTCACCACAAGGAAATGAGGGACTATGGAAAAAAAAAATCTGTATCTAAAACCATTGTTAAAACATATAACCTTTAAGTGAATGTAGGTATCAAATGCAGAATACAATTCTTACCTGAGGAATTCAAATACCTTTCATTACTCAAGAAATTAAAAGCAGGGATGACTACATGTCCCTTTCCAATGGCACTCACAATTTCTTCCTCATTATCTAGGACTTGTAGTTTAATGAGCACATCAGATTTAGAAGTTTGTACTTGCACAGTAGCAATATGTGATGCTGTGACTTTTACTGAATACCTAAAGAGGAAAGCAAAATTATAGCAAAACAATTACACCAGATTGTTCTTTTTTAAAACAGCACCTAAGCATATGCTGACTTGGAAGTGCACACTTAAAAATTTGTGGCTAAGTGTTTTCCTGCAGTGTGATGGGCTAGGTTTTCTCTACTGTAGTTTAGTGTTGTGAATCCCTGATCAGTATAAGCATGCTTTGCTGTAAATAAAAGTGTGGTCCTGTTGTGTTTGGTTTGCTTTTTGTTCTCCTACCATATGTCCAAATGCACATCCTCCCTCATGTAATGCTAGAATTTGTTCAAAAATATGGAAAGAAGATCAGGGAACTGATTGAATTAAGAAGTAGCATGGTGAAGGAGGAAAAATAAGATTTGGTTTTAAAAAGGTAGAGCAATCTCATTTAACAGTAGTAGTTACTCTGGTCATCTTAAAATATTGTGGAATTAAAATGGAATTAAAAGACTGCAGAATTAAAGTCTTAGAATGAAATTCAAAGAATAATTGTATTGCCGCTTTATATGTTAGTTGAAGTTTTAGGAGAATGCTATGTATGGAAGTTTTTTTTTTTCTTAAATTAAAATTGTTAGACTAACCTAAGCTAGCAAAGGCATGCAAACAAACAAAGCAAGCAAACAAGCTAAAAACAACCTATCATCCTGAGTTCAGGACCTCTCAAGACAAAAATATATTTATATTTTTAAATAAAATTCTTAAAAGACTTTTGACAGGCAAAGGGAAACAATCAAGGGAGACTCATAGTTTACAGAATTTCAATGTACTCGTTTTATTGCCATGTCAATTCTCTCTCTCTCTCTCTCTCTCTCTCTCTCTCTCTCTCTCTCTCTCTCTCTCTCCCTCTTTTTCTCCTGTATTGGCCTTGATTCAGTATGTTGAATAAACTTTACCCCAAGAATAATCCATTGATTTGAAATACTGACAGTAAGTTGTCATAACACTGTTCTGCCAGGAATCATGGCAAAATGTTAGAGATGTACCCTTAAAAATTTACATGTGATACGCTTTAAGTGCAGGAGCTGTGCTAGCTTATTGCAAAGTCCTTTCCTATAAAAACTTAAGCATAGTAATTTTGTAACAAAATTAACAGCCCGCATAGTACTATGAGATTAATTTTGTATTTGTTTAAGCTATAAAACATGCAATGTTGTTTAACGTTGAATAGGCATTCATGTAACTTCTGAAGGACTACTCAGCCAGAATAATCTGGCTTTAGTCAACATTAGTCAGTTACATAAGAATTTAGAACACTAAATCATCATGTTCTCATTAAACGTGTTCTCCTAAAATAACCTACATGCTACAGCAAAAGTATAAGTTCATGATTAAATTAAGTTTTCCTGATACTACTGCAAGATGGAAATTGGTCTGATAAATCAAAAAAGTAAGTGTTGTATTTCTTGATTTTATTTCTAGCTTTGTGTAACTAGCTGGAAAAAATACACTAAACTGCATGCCACTTTCTCCACACCTGCAAAATCTCTGCACCTTTTTTTCCCCCAAAGTACTATGGAATTTCAGTAACTAAAGTATGGATTAGTTTTCAAGAGTGAGGTCAAGCTCTTCTCAGTATGCTGCAGTGGTCCCTATAAAAAGCTGAATCTAGTTATTCTTCTTTCAATATTTACCTGAACATTACATGCTTGTCATTGGGTATGTAATACTCTTTAATTTCTTTAGTAGAATACAAGTTGTTTATAGCCTCACGAGAGAGGAAAGGGAGAGGACTGTGGGATCCAATGAGCCGGAGCCTCCATTTCCCAGATGCCATATGCAAGTCACCAGTATGTGCTTCAGCCATAAACGTATATCCTTTCTGAACGTAAAAGACAAGACATTTTCATTAGAAAACAACATTACTCAAACCGGACTCTACAACTGCACGCAGCAGACATTTTCTCTATAATAAAATGTACTTCATAAGCAAGAATATCATAGTATCATGATATATCATGAGGTACTTTATTCTGGAAAGTCTTTTCATTTTCTTTTGATCTGATTTCCTTTTTTTCTCTTCTTGATATCACACCAAAAGTATATGTTGTAGTAGTAGTAGTACTAGTTGTAAATAATGAATGAAGAAATTCAATATGAAAGAATTTTATAAGCCAATAACTTTAACTCCAAGCTCAGAGCCAGCTACATCAAACCTACACGTTACTGTTGTTGAGCAAATAGCGCTGTGTTACACTTCCCAAAGACATTCTCCAGAAGTTCAGCCTTAGGAGTGTCTTCTATAAAAGTAATTATCATATCAAATTCTTGTCGTAAGACAAGACAACATATTATGTCCGAATAAAGGAAAGTAAAAATCCAAGCAATCACTTTCTGGTTGCCCTGAATCTGAGCAGCTTTTTCAGGTGTAGGCATTGAAGTTTAAATTGAAAAATAATAAAGCAAAGGGCAAACATACTCTATAAAATGAATTGAAAGTAGTAAGACTGGAGTTAAGATTTGCCTATTGACAAACAGAAAAAGAAAGTCAAACATGAAAACTGAAAAGTGAAACAAGATGTTGGACAAAATGAGAAGAGATAAACAAAAGATAAATTATGCATGAAACGGCTCAGAAATCTGAACTTTATCAAGCAAGACAAGCATAGAAATCTTCTGTGACATTAAAGGTAGTATTTTTAAACTGAACTTCAACATTGCTTAAAGTAGCAATATTATTATAATATGCAGTGTAATGCAAAACAGAGTGCTTTCACATTTAGTAGAATTTAAATTTCTGGCATTATTTCAGCCAATTTAGCACACAATCTCCAGATGATTATAACACCTACTGAACATCATGATTTTGATCAAAAAAAGGAAAAGGTGCTGATGGTAAAGATTAAAATAAGCATTCTCCAAACTGCTCTGAAAGACCTTCATATGTTATCTTGGCCCCTTAATTGTCTATGTTTTTCAGCTGTCTTGAAATGTTTGCCTAATTAGGACTGTGTTTTCATCAGAGCTAGGCCAAATAACTCAGCTCATTTCAGCTGAGTTGTTGAAAATCAGAGGGAGGTTGCTCTAAAGAACAACATCCAGTTCTTCACTTCTGAAATAACTTTTAAAGTGAGATTAAAAAAAAACCCTGCTCCCCTGCTGTCTAAATCTATTCCCACTGCAACTTTTAAGAATAAGACCATTAAATTCAAATGGAATTAAGAGAACAGTGAGACTGAACACTTTTGAAAGTCCACCCTGCATGACTTAGTTCCTAGTAGTAAGGTGCAGACAGTGAATTCCTTCATCAAGTATTCCTTCATTAATTTATTAGCCTTACGAGAACTAAGTTGCTGCATTATTTTTTTTAATGCTATGTTGAGTAGACTATATGAAATTTCATTTCCTGTAGAGTAAGGAATTCTTAGAAGATGAACCAGAGGAAAAAAAATCCCCTATGGCTATGCAAAAGAATTACTTAGACAGGCTAACCTGTATGTTTTTGTCTCTACCAAAGAGATGTGTTGTAAATGCTTAATTTATCATAATTTAAAACTGTGTAAAGATTTTGAAATGCGAGGAAAAGGAACAGTAAAATATTTTAGTTTATAGACAACTTTAACTTCAAAAGTGATCAGAGTTAAGATTAGATGACTAATATTTTTGGTAATTCATGCAGAAGATACTTAGAAAAAGCTACCAGTACTTGCATATATGAACGTAATTTTAGAAAAGGATAAAGATGAAAAATAACTTGATTCACTGATGAGAAGAGAAATGGAAAAATGTCCATCCGTACTGGAGGCACTGCAACAATATGGGTAAATATGGGAATTTAAATTTGTAGTTGAGTATGCACTTAAAGTTCCCCATTCTTAACAAGCTCATTTGTTAACTGAGATTTAGCTACATATTCATGTGCTTTCTGGCAACAGAGTATATGTGAGAAAAATGTCTTCTTTTGTGTGCCTATTTATAAAGATTTACAATGATCCTCCAAGCTTCATGTTCACAAAACATATTCAGAAAATTTAGAATTAATGTTAAAAAATTGTATGAGTGGCCATTTCAGCAGATCACAATTAAAAAGCACAGTAACTGAACTTTGAGGCTGACAAGATCATTGAGTAATCATCAGTCACTAGAATCATAGAATCATAGAATGCCGAAGGTTGGAAGGGACCTCAGAGGTCATCCAGTCCAACCCCCCTGCTCACGCAGGGTCACCTAGAGCACGTGGCACAGGGCTGCATCCAAGCGGGTTTTAAAGATCTCCAAAGAAGGAGATTCCACAACCTCTCTGGGCAGCCTGTTCCAGTGCTTTGTCACCCTCACAGTGAAGAAATGCTTCCTTAAGTTCCTGTGGAACTTCCGATGCTTCAGTTTGAAGCCATTTCCTCTAGTCCTATCCCTGCCCACCACTGAAAAGAGGCCGCCCCCCTCCTCCTCACTGCCTCCCTTGAGGTATTTATACACGCTGATCAGGTCCCCCCTCAGCCTCCTCTTCTCCAGGCTGAACAGGCCCAGCTCTCTCAGCCTTTGCTCATAGGGCAGATACTGACAAATGGCATATGGCACTACTGACAAATAATCAAATAGACCTAGATAATCCCTGTCAGATTTATGTCTTTTTCTTACAAACCTACCGGGAGAAATGTGGTGACCTTAGGTATCATGTTTCAATTCACTATCCCTAAAATGTAAAAGCAATTTTTTCCCCTAATATATCACTGTAAATAACCTTTCTGGAAAGTAAGCTAATTTCCTTAGGTACTTTCACAAGTAGTCAAGGTGAATAACTGATCAGTGTCTTTGCCTACTTAGAGTTGTATTTTCTATACTAAATAGACTGTAAATGATGATTACTTATCTTATACTTGTTACTGATTTGAAGTTTGAGGAATGCTTATCTGTTTAACACTTTCTACAATGTGTTCAGAAGACTTGAGGTAAATTAAAAACTGTATCCACTAGTAGAAAATGTGACCCTCGAAGGAGAAAATTTAATGTAAAAAAAATCCAAATACTGAAAAACAAGTAGCTAAATCTCTGTCTGGACTGTAATGGCTGCAGAAAGCAGACAGGCTTTATTGCTGTTCTGCAGGTTTTATCCTTAGTGTGAATCATTTTGAAAAGAACCTTAATGTGTTGCAGGAGTGGCTGCGGCAGCAGAATAACAATACCTGCTGATATATATTTCTTAGCTCTGATGTTAAGTTGCTGATTCATAGTTTTGAAACAGAACACCTACACAATAGGCTCTTTCAAAAAAAAAAAAAAAAAAAAAAAAGCTCGATCTGTATTAACACTGATACTTGGAATTCAGGCACGCTGTATAATTTCTTACTGTATTACACTGTTGACTTTTTCTTCTTAACAAAATACTATTAAAAGGAAAGGTAAAAATTAAAATACCACTGTATCCTGTATTTCAAAATAAGCACATAATGTCTTGTCAAAACATGAACAGAACTTTTGCTATATATGCAGGCCCACTGAAACTGTACCAAATCCTTTATAAATGGAGGGAAACAAACTAAATTGTACAGTTTAAGGTTATACTTTTATTGACAAAAACTCAGCAGCAGAGCAGTAGCATTAGTAAAAAATGTAGTAACAAGTAGAAAAATAGATCATAACTATACCATTCTGTTCTAATACTCTTAAATCAAAATCAGTCTTTACTCTTGCTAACCATATTTAATATTATAAAGTGTAAAGCTTAGGGAATAATAGCATCAGCTTTAAGTAGGGAGTTCTTCAATAAATACCAGGAGTAGAAAATGCTCTGTTTTAATTAGTTGACAATAAAAACATTGAGAATTACATATTATGTACTGTACTCCTAAGAAAATATTATAATTCTAGAAAACAACTGATGGATCAGGGTATAGGAAATACTCCTTTTGCTATAACACCACCACTGTATCGCACAAAAGTCCTGGTAAGATATTATTTGTAATACTGCATGTAACCTTGGATATTTTTATTCAAGAAAACTATCTTGCTATAAGAGCACTGAGAAAGAATTACTAGAATCAGGGGAGTGGAAAGTCTGTTGTGCAAAGCAGAACTAGACGACCACAGCAAAACAGATGCCAAATGGGATCTAGGATGTATCTGAAGCTGTGATTGTGCTCTTCATGACCTGTTACTTTTCTTAAAGGCAGTAAGTTATGTTTCACCATTGAGATTTTTTTTTTTTTTTTTTTTTTTTTTTTTTTTTTTTTTTTTTATCCTGTCACTTGCTTTTTTCACTATTTGGTGGAATATTCACCTCATCACTGAAGATCACAAATTTGTTGTGAAAACTAATCTGCCTGCAACCCTGTTTCTTAAATCACATTCCTTCAGTAGTAGCAATATTTTCAGCCCGTATTTACTTTAAACACCAGGTAACTGAAGTTTATTCTAGCAAAAAATTCTTATTATGTATAAAATTGGAAGTAGAGTTAAAAAATAAAGCACATAGAACAAAGCTACCCTACCATGTTAGGGTATAACTGACATCAATTCCTTGCTATTGATAGATGACACTGGGAAGATTAAAACGTGAACCTGTCTTCACTAAAAGGTCAGCTGTGCATATGAGAACAGTATCATTAATATTACTGATAAGAGCAGTCTAGAACAGGGAAATGAGTAGCAAATGCTTATATGGATAAATTAAAGAGTTTGGGTTTAATTAGGTATGATGAATTTCTGAACTGGCTGAATACAACTAAATAATAGGTTAAAGCAATCACAAAATTTTTTAATTATGTCTGATGATGAACAGTTAAGATACTGGAAGACCACAAAGCCAAAGCCAATGTTTTGCTTTTTGTTTTTTTAATGGACAAAGATGTGGAAAACTATGAGTCTGTATAGCCTCAATGGCTGAAAATATTATGTAATAGCTAAGAAAATGAACTATTCTCACCCCTCTTAATACAGCTAAAAGGTGAGTAACAGCTAAAAGGATTCCAAAGAACAAACATCAAAGACATCATATCTCCCTCTGTAATAGGATAAACACACTACAGGAGTGGAGGAGAAACAGCAGATAACATCTATCTTGACTTGAGTAAAGCTATTGACATTGTCTCTCTGGTCATTCTTCTAAGTGGAGTGAAACATGATCACGATAAAGTGGGTGGCTGTTGATTTGATAATTAAAATAATTTTAAACTGGGGAAATGGTCCTGCAAGTAGCATAAAAATCAAGAGTGAAATATACTGTATTTGCTCAAGAATAATAAACTCCACAAATACAGGACTGGAAACAATCAGAATTTAATCCTGTAGGAGAGCATCTAGGGTTTGAAGTAGCACAAGTCAAGAATGTTTTTGAGGAAAAAAAAAAAAGGCAAACGGGTAAACGCCATAAATATAAGTAGGAATAAGGCCTCCAAAATATGTAAATTAATCAGTCCTTGCTCACCATTTGCATAGCCTCAAGATAATCCTTGGTGCATAGTTTACTATGCACAATGATAAAAATCATAAAAAAGAAAAAAATTGTGAGATTTGTGTTTAATGGTATAACTATTTCTTGGAGTAAATTAAGTTTAATATACTAATGCTGCTTCGGTTTGAGGGGGGAGCATATATAAAGCTGTATTTGGCATTCTTGCTTCAATTACAGAATCACAGAATATTCAAGGTTGGAAGGGACCTTATTATCACTATCATTATTACTATCATTATCACCTTATTATCAGTATCATTTGAAGAGGCATGTTTTGTGTAAGCATAACTGACAAACTTAACACATCAGGCGATTCGTGCCTCATTCTTACTAGGGTTTCTGATTCTTAAAAGTATTTCTGCCAGTTGGACTGTATCAGCAGTCACCAGATTGTCACTGTGTACAAAAGCACGGAGAAGCTGGAAGATATATTTCCATTTGCAGATAACCACAAATATCAAAGAAAATCATAGAATCATAGGATGCTTAAGGTTGGAAGGGACCTCAGAGGTCACCTAGTCCAACCCCCCTGCTCACGCAGGGTCACTCAGAGCACATGGCACAGGGCTGCGTCCAAGTGGGTTTTAAAGAGCTCCAGAGAAGGAGACTCCACAACCTCCCTAGGCAGCCTGTTCCAGGGCTTTGTCACCCTCACTGTCAAGAAATATTTCCTTAAGTTCCTGTGGAACTTTTGGTGCCTCAAATTAAGGCCATTCCTTCAATGTAAAAGGTTTTTATCTTTAAAATGATATTTTTTACAACCACTCTTTATCCTTACCTTATTCTTGCGATAAATGCGAGGTGCCACTTTGAAAAAGACATGTGGCATTTCCTCTAGTGTGTCATTATCAATTACATGGAGTCTACAGGTAGGGATAGATGTATACATCTTTGGCACTATAAGCATGTCTTCTGGAACATAAAATGTCTCTCTATTAAAAAAAAAAATAAAAAATTCACTTTAAAATTGTATCAAATTTATATTCAGTAATGAAATGATTTCTGGAACACACAATAATAGCAACTAGTAGAATTGCAGGAAAGTAAAATCATATTTTTATAACAGGTAAGTGTTATAGAGTGAATCAAAAAACACTGTTTCTCCATAAGAATTATATAAGTCATGAACTCACCTAAAAACCACAAACCAAACATTTGGTGGCTGATCAGCATACGTTACAACATAGTCAGTAAATGAGATCTTGGACCATTCATCTTCATAACATGGAAACTTTTCAATTGAACTACAGTTACTTTTAAACATTTCTCTAGAAAGCAGAAAACAAGATAAAACATTCAAATCTAATGGAGAGAAAGCAAATAACTTGACATTACTGTATGCTAATCATGAAAAACCCTGCTTTTTGTGTTAGTGTAAAATAATGGTACAAAATGTGCTACCAGCATTTATTTAGTTGCTTTTGAAAATGTAGTACCTCGAAACTGCATTTAATGTATTTCAGTACCTCAGAAATGGTAAATCTGAGGGGACGGGCAAGGTGCTTTTCAAGTTCAAGAGCTAATGGCCTATAATTATCAACATGAATATTTGCATCAGACAGTCTATCCATAAGTGCAATTGCTTCTAGCAGCTCCAAATATTATGGCTTCTGTAATATTTCTTTGAACTTTTAAAATCAGGTAGCATAGCTTCAATTTTCACATTAAACTCACATTAAGCTGTCATCTTATACCTACAGTTCCATTAGGAAATTCAAAAAAACCCTTTTTTTTTCTCCTCTTTAAGGCTGTTTTGAACAAAAGATGATTGCATAATATAACCACATAACTTAAAGGGTGATTTAAAGGCCTTGAAAGGCTTTCTTTTCACATATGAAGAAACTTTCAAAACTTACTAGTAAGGTAAATAAACACTATGATGTTACTAAATTCTATGAAATTCAGCTAATCTACTGGTCTCTAGCTGACATCACAGAGTTTTATTAATCACTTGCAGTATCACAAAGATTCCTTTGGACAAAGCAACGTGAATACCAGCATATAATATTCCCCACTATGTGAATTAAGTTGTAGGTGACGGTGAACAAGAAGAGAGCAGTTCTCACTCCATGCTTTGGCTGCTTCCAGTGATTTTCTCCACAGATTATACAAGAAAATACAGACTTGAAGTTGAAGAGATCTTTCATCTTGTCACCACCTCTGTCTTGAACTATTCTTCAACTATCTGCTTTCAGCAGTAAGCAAGATTTTACTATCTTTTCATTGCTCTGCCTCACCCAATGTATTGAACCATTTATGTGAGGTGGACAACATCCATTTACAGTGATGCCTGTCTTCTCTTTGTTTTACAAACATGTTATAAGCATATTCAAAAGTTTTTATCCACAAAATCTGGCCAATGCTAATTTCATATTTTGTTATTACAAATAGTACTTAGAGAAAAGAATCCCACATTCATGTTTTTAATGATAATAGCCAATCTTGATATTTAGTGAAGGTAAAAACCACAGAATAGATCCATATTGCCATAAGTAATTTAAAGCAAAAGTTTGAAACTTTAATTCTTGAAGTTTTGCAAAGATTCTTTTATCATTGATAAAAATTACACAGATGTGCAGAAAGAGTACTAGAAAATCTCAAACTTGTAATTTTTAAAGAATTTAAAAGAGGAATGAATGATCATGATTTTTTTCTAGGAAAATAGGGCATAATTTGAAACAGGTGTCAACTTCAGCACAAACTTAGAAGTTTTAGTCCATTTTGAACTAGATCTTTGCATTGTAAAACAATATTGCTTTTGGATCCTTCTATGGCAGAGCTTATAGAGAAGAAAAGCTCCTACTCTAATAACTGCCACAAAACTCCTACACCTCTGTCAACTGTAGAAAAAAAATAAAATAAAATCATGATAACATGATTTTTGCACTCAAATATGTACCCCAGGACAATGTCTAAGGAACTAGTCTAATAGTTCTAAAAGATTGAAAGTAGACTAAAAACTGAATCTGATCTTTGCTTCTTGAGAAATGATGCAAATCTAAAATTAATTTTTTTTAATTCTAAAAATATTTGGAACTAGGACTTGATGTTCATGTCTGCATGGAAATGTTTCACTGACTCTAGTAATGTGGATTAGAAACAACAAAAGCTGAAGGAAAAAAAATACTTCAAATTGTTGCTTATAAGGAGCAAAAAATTGTACCGACAGCTAGTAATTACTGCCAGTCCTTGCTTCTCAGCATTGACACAACTGAGCTATGGCTGCATTATGTGAACACCTGCAGAGGGATATTGGAAAGACTTCATGAAGACACATGCTCTCCAAACAGTGCCATGCTTGCAAACAATTTAAAGGAACACTGCTGTAATTAACGTAGCTGACTTTGCAGAACCCATAATTAACTACCGGGGAAAGGATCCACCTGGAAATACACCTACTTTTCTTGAAAGAAGTGTTACAAACAAATCCTTTGATGCTAAAAACTGTATTACAATTAAATAAGATTTCTGGCATAGTTGCCCTCTTTGTAGGTCACCTAATGTTGATAAGGCTTCTCTAAAAAGACAGCAGGAATCAAACACTTCTTTAAAGTAGCTTTAGGTGCTTAGTCAAAGAATCAGTATCAGATTCATATTAATGAAACAGTTTATATGATATGGAAAAAAATAAATATAGAAGGCACAATTCTAGTCCAAGCTGCAAGAGAACAGCTTGCACATAGCAAAATGTATAGTTAAAGATTATTGTCACTTCTTCTGTCATAGCTTAGCTTCACTGAATCTCATTCTTTATAGTTTAACCAAATTTTGCAATTTTAAATTAGTAATACTCTTGCAATATTTACTTCATGAACCAGCAATTTATGTCAAGTCTATGCAAAAGGCTTCACAAAATCTATGCAATATGCTGCACTGACATTTGTTAAATTATTACCTCAACAACATTATAGCACACTGTTCAGAATTTAACTCAATCAGAGCCCACAATTTTTTCAAGGTTTCTTTGACGTTCGCATTTTCTTTAGTGCCTGAAAATAACAGAAATAATAAGTTAGAAAATTTATATAGCTCTTTCTAAATCCATGCCTGAAAAGTTCTTGTGAAAAAAAAAAAAAACCTGCTCACACAAGTCAATTTTTTTAAGAATCGGTGTTTTATTATCCAAAAATTTATAGAAGTCTCACACAACTGAAAGCTAATCTTTAATAGAGGAAATTCCCTTAAATTACATTATTGCTTTGCATTTATCAGCATTTCTGCTATTGCAAAATCGAGGAGATCAATACCTTCTTTGATTTTACAGATCGCCTTTGTAACATACGCTATCTTAGCATGAGATAAGAAGTGATTTTTGCTCCCAGTAAAGTCAGTTTGTCTTCCAGCAGCTTTTATTTGCAGATACTGCTAAGGTCTAAGTGGATGCCTAGGCGATCTTTACAGACAATAAAAAGAATCAGGCAGCTGCAAAGGGTAATTCATCCTTCCCGTGATCGATACCTCTCAGATGACAGGACATGCTGTCCTCTCAAAGTGCATATTTCTATCCACAGAATAAAAATGAAGATGAGGCAAACCAGATCTGATGTCTCACTCTTCCTGACTAAACTTTGGCAAAATTCTCTTCGATTGTATAATGCCAGAATTGGAGAGAAAAAGGATGGGGAAAAGTGAGAATACTGTAAGGACAAGTAAGAAAGTAAGAGAAAGTAGTATAGATAATGAAGAAAAGATGCAGAAAAGCCATATGATTGAATAAAAAAGTGAAGTGCTGAAAAGAAATGATCAGAATAAAAGGTAATGGAGTGCAGACAAATCAGAAAACGATGGGAAAGACATTATATATAACAAAAGAAGACTTTTGGAATACTCAGTGCTTAAAACTTAATCTAAAGAACAGAAGATTCTGGGCTCTGAGATTTGCAGGAATTGATAACACTAGTGAAAGTTAGCTAAAACTCTCCTACTCTACTTGCTTTGTAAATACAAGTAGAAGAGCAGGATATTTGGAGCAGAAAACTTAAGCAACACTAGGATAGAGGTTTTGGAGAAAGACAGTCCTTGGATTACTGATGGGAAGATGAAGGTAGGAAAGAGAACTTGAAGCATTCAGTTGATGCAGGTAAATATAAAATAGAAGAAAATCCTGCAGTGATGATAATTCAGAAGGAACTTCCAACAGAAGGACAAGAGCAATGGATGATGTCTAGCTTGGACTCAGTAAGTTTTCCACATCATCTCTCATTTCACTTTCACAGCCAAACCGATAAAGTATGGGCTAGATGAGCGGAGAATGACAGAGCTCTTAAGGTTGTGATCAGTGGCACAAAGTCTAGTTGGAGGCCAGTAATAACTAGCTGTGTACTCCACGGACGGAGGCTTCTTCCTTGGGAGGCCTCTTCTGAGTTGCTGTGTAACAGTCTTGTTACACATTCATTGTTATTTCATACTATATAAATAATTAATCAAATATTTTCTGAACTGCACAAATATGATTTTGAATTTCGCAGTCATGGAAAACCCAACACAAATCTCGTGGTGTGGTTTTAGCACTATTGTTTTAATTCAGTATAAAACTCTTGAAAATACTATTGAAAAAACTCTTGAAAAAGAATTTTACCAATAACATTTTGATTTCTTGCAGCCTAAATTTACTGTTAAATATAGTTTACTATATAGACTAAAAAAAAAATCTAAAAATCTTGAGTGTACAGTATGTGACTGACAATCCCCCCAAATCTCTTCCTTATGATTCACAAATCTTCATATATATTTTCCTGTAAATTATACTTAACGTTTTGTCAAAAATGACTGTGACAACATTAAAATATTGTTTGCTAAAACTCACAGAAACCTATTTGTGGGAAATACATAAAAGAAGGACATGTATTTAAAACTTTTACTTACATTCCAAATAGCAAACATTCAGTCCAGTTCTAAGCTAAAACTGTATTAATGCTGCTTTAACATCTACCAAAATCAATGTGGTAGGTCCTTCCTCTACCTCAATCACTTTTTAGTGTCGTATGTGCTACAGAATAAGTTAGGCTGAGAAATATTCTCATTTTATCAGAGGTTCTACTATAATCTTTTATTGTATTGTAGTTCATTTTAACCAGATATTGATTAGTAACAAAATGCTTAAAGGAAATATCTGAACAGGATGCAAAATAAAACTTCTTTTAAAAGTTATTTTAAAGGACATACCTGGTTTTCTGCCTTTTATCACTTTCCTAACATAGGTTCCCCTCCAATTAGCTTGAAGTTTGAGTGCTGCTGCTTCTTCCTCAGAAGTGGGAATTCTGTTATGCCAGCTACTAAGGCAAGATGTGTCAAAAGTCTCTGAAAGAAGAGAATGACAATGAAAGACAACAATGGAAATCACATAGCTGCTTGCTATAAGGGTGGAAAAAAGAGAGAGAAATATAATCCATAAATAGAGTAGTTTGTGCATAAAAGCTCCACTTATGACAGAAACAACACTGGCAATTTTCCTGTATAAAAAACACCAGATATTAATTCATGATAAAAATAAAGACAATTTACTGTGTAATTACATAAAGTTATCATGCAACCACTGTGCTAATTCCAAAGACTAAATAATTGAAGCCTTACTTCTACTGCAGTATTTTGTAAATTGTCTTCTAATTTAATTTTAAAATAAGTTTCCAAACGTGATCAAAAAGAATTCAACACACTAAAATCTGACTCTGAATACATCTTAAAAGAAAAGCTTCACAAGATTTTAAATGTTTCCATCTACTGAACTGATCATTCTATTAACTAACAATTTTAAAACAGACATTGTTTAAAGTGAATTCAGGTTTCACTAAGCAACCATGGAATATGGGTAAGAATCTCAATTAGGCCATGCATTTATCTTCTCTCACAGATGGGACTGGAAGTGGAACAGAAACTGGATGGTTCTGACAGGGTTCCTGAGGAGATCTTTAGGGTAACCCTTGCATTCCTGGCAGCCTTTAGCATCAGGATCTTGTGGGAGTGTTTGAGCCTACAGCACTACAAGCAGGCAGAGCTGGAAAGCCAGGTTGGAACTTCACAGAGATTGAATGAGGGCAGTAAGAGAGGGAAGAAAAAAAGGAAAAAGTGCTTCAAAAGGAAGCTCCAATAAAACAAAGATGAGAAGAGTGCTGAGATCCAGTTTAAAAACAATGACAAACTGAAGGAAAGATTGCTGTCTTCAGACAAGAGATTACATATTTTAATCTAACATCTGTTGAATGTTTTTAAATTTGCTGTGTTTCTAACTCTTATTCCTGATTACTATCTAATTTCCGAACCCAAGACAATCTTTAACAATTAGAGACTCTGAAAGGTTACATAATACTACTTCAATAGACAGCAGTTTAGGGCTCATCAACACGCACAGCACAACAACTTTTTATAAACAACTGGACAACTGGAAGTCACACAGTCCACGCACATGTTTAAAAGAGCAACAACTTAGAGCAGGTTGCTCAGAGTCTTGAACAGATGTTCAGTTTTCCTAAGATCCAATTGTAATTTTCTAGCTTGTGTCTTATCACTTTGCATCTCTGAGGAGGTCTATCTACTCTATACTCTTCCATTTACGTGTCAAAATAATCTACACTTCAGAATGAATTTGAATTTGTTCTAGCTATACGCTTGTTTATTTTACAATTAAATAATCCAGTGGCAAAGCACTGTTTTGTACCTTCTTATCCTAATGCTTGTTAGTGACCCCACTAATGCTGTGGAACTCAACAGTGGCTTCACTTGGACAGGAGGGTAAATATTTATGGCTGTGGCCAACAATAATAGCTGAGTCTTCTACTCTGGAGAGGGTTATTCAAAGACAAATGAACTCAAAGGGATGGCATTTTCTAAAAGCTGAAAATCAGGTGCCATAAATGCTTAGGCTTTCACACACTAATTGCTTTCAGAGTTTCTTCAGTTCTATGTGTGACACTGCATATTACTTTTTACATTTAAATATCTAAGTTTCTTCAAAATTGTCAAAAATTTAATTCCATGCTGACAACTGAAAGCAGTGAGAATTTTCTGAAATTGTATATTCCAAAAGATTTAATATATTTTGTTCTAACCTTTTAAATATATTGTAATTAGAACAAAAATATTTTTATTTGTATGACAGAAGTCAAAATCAAAAATAAGAAGGAAATATTTGGACTTTAAACAGGTCTATGTTGGATATACTGGAGAAGCATTTTATATACTCCCAGTAATGACAAACTTTCCCCACCTGTTACTGGAACTAAATTTCAAATCCAAAAGAAGTTCAGCAAGAAATTGTCTAGAATCATTTCTCCAGCCTCACAGCATAACTATATGATTACTGCTCTTATATCAAGTTAATAGAAGAAAGAGAAGCTTATTCAGAAAAGAGAGAAGGAACAGGGCTCTTATGTCTTACACAGAGAAGTTTATAGTCAATTTTTGAATTTTTTGAAGTCAGAGTTAGACTTCAGAGCAAAACAAAATTTCAGACAAGGGTGTTCTTACAGAAGAGTACACACAAAGTACTCTACAACTTCAAAGCTGAGACTCTCCCTGAGAAAGAAATGTATCCTTTGACTTATGCCTAAATGATTGTCAAATGACTGAGGCTCCAGGCTTGGAAATCAGTCCACAGACCTCCAGTGAGATCATAAACTGACCTGACTCATTACAGGGCCCAGTGAAAGCAGCACAAGGTAAGCAGAGGCGGGCAGCAATGAGATATTAAGACTGTCTCGCCTCACTTGCGTAACCTCAGGGTGAGACGCTTCCTTTCATAGGAACCATCACATGCTTCTGTAAATTCAGCATCATATGACCACCAAAATGGCAGAGGCTCTTTACCTCTCTCTTTCCAGACGACTACAGAAGAGCTGTGCAATGGAGTAGTACTCAGCCTAAGTAATTCCCATCTTCCTCTCATGTTTACCTGCTGCGCTCTCCTGTTTGCTTCTCACAGCTCCTGTGCTGGCTGTTCCAGAGGAGTGGGCAGTATTTAGTAGATAAACCAATGTCACTAGAATATTTTCAAGCTGGCTTTCAGAAACCTTACTACACAGGACTTCTGCCTGCAATATCCTTGCTGGACTAATGAATAACATGCAAAACGGACAAGCTAATGTAAAATGGAGGAGGCATTTCAAAAAAAAAAAAAAAGTTCAGATTTGATTTGATTTACTCTTCCCCTCCTGCATCACAGTCAGCCAAGAAAAAAGATTTCTTTTGCCTCTTACATTACTTCACATTGATGCTTGTGATTTTCCATCGGATTCTAACTCAAATCTTCACAAGATCTGAGCAACTGAAATGACAATGCAGTGCTAATGTGGGCCAAGTAAAGATCAGACCTTCTGCACCTTCCGACAATGCATCTTTCACTTGTGTTTTCATTTTATCTACCTATTTTTTCCCCCACTTAGCTTCATTTTATTTTATTTTATTTTATTTTATTTTATTTTATTTTATTTTATTTTATTTTATTTTATTTTATTTTATTTTATTTTATTTTGATTATAGATGTCTCCATTTAAGTTTCTGGGACAACATCTGAACAAAAACAATAGTTTTTTCCCATGTAAAATTTATTAAGCAGAGCAAAATACATAACTAAGGTGAATATAACTAAAATGAAACAATGTACTTCCCAATTTGGTAGGAACTTACTGTATTTACATTTGGGCAGGTTAAGTAACATTTCCTCAGGAAAGGAAAATGAATTTGAAAGATAAATTAGATACTGGAAGAAACCAAACTAAAATCAAACTTGTCTCCTTCACACTTTTTCTTTCTCTTTTTTTTTTTGTTCCACTCCAAATTCTAAAAATACCCTGTCACAACTTATGATTAACTATCATATATAATATCTTGTTCCAATATGTCAACTGCATACATTTATCTGTGTTGGTTATTCAAGTCTAATTAAAAAATGTATTCTCTTCTACTGCTGATAAGTACTAGATTTTCTTTGGAATACAGAAACCTTGAAAAATGTGAAAGGTGTTGATGACTTTTTCAAGTGCTGTAATAAATGTCAGTATGCTGACTCCTATAACCTACACCATTGCCATAAGATATAAATCTGTGAAAAATACAGTAATTCAGTAATTCTGGTTAATTATTCAGTCTGCTGTCTCACAGAAGAATAACCTTCTGAAGAAGGGATGTTTGCAGGAAAACCTACAGGAAAGTGTCAAATTGTCAAATAAAGACTATATATGATTTCTTATAGAACAAAATTTAAAGCACTAAAAGTAACTAAAAGTTAATAAAGGTACTATATTTCCGAATATTTTAATCAAGTTTGTTTTTAACAACTTGCAAACATGAACTGACTGGTGAAAGGAATTCAATATCATTCTGCTTCACCAAGAACAAAGAATTAATGCCATAAATTTCTAATAGCACAAGGATATATGAAGTCCCTCCTGAAAGTATGGACTTCTAATGGTGACAATGTATCTTCCTGCAAATATTTCCAATTAATTCTTTTTCTATTTTGAATCATAAATAAACCCTCTATTAATAAATAACCTTCTATTAATAAGTTATTCTTTAAAAGTTATAAAGATTGCAAAATAAGCCTCTTAAAATGAAAGAGCTATGCATTTGGTCAATAAAACATAAACACTTAGAAAAGAAAGAAATTATTTATATTTTGAGATCTGTCTCATAGAGGAATTTCAAACACTTCCTGTCAACAGTAGAAAATTTAGACATCTCATAGGATATGAACCACACATACCTATGCAAGAAAACACAAGATTGTTGAAATGTTAATTCCCTCTACCTTAACAAAAGGCAAATACATTTAAAATGTCTAGCAATATCAGTTCAGTACCTGAAGACACACTGTCATCCTCAGAAATCTCAATGGTTTTAAAATCCAAAGTGAAGGATCTGAAAGCAAATCGGTAACTGGAAGGAACTTTGTTGGCTAATACATGTTTGATTAAACACCAAAATGCATTATTGAAAACCTAAAATGAAAGAGAGACAAAAGATGCATTTTTAAAAGCTGATTTCATAGAATCACAGAATGCTTAAGGTTGGAAGGGACCTCAGAGGTCATCTAGTCCAATGGATTTACATTGCTTTTTATCAATGTTTCAAACATTTTTTTCCTTCTTTCTGTAAAAATGCTGTCTATATTTCTAACTTCATCTAGCAAAGATAGTATCAAAAAATTAGTCCTTACTGTTAGACTAAAATGCTTCAAGCCAAGAATGAAACCTGTTCATATCTGGGTTATTATATACAGAACAGATCCTACAACAAAAACTTATCATCTAAGGCATCATCTAGTGGTTTCAATGAAATGAATTGATGGCCTCAGTCCAGAGCACTGAACACATGATTATCATCACCATGAAGACTGGCTTTTTGTTTTAAGTTTTAGAACAGAGACCAACACCTGAATGGGCATGTTTACTGAATAAAGAGATGACATCATTAACAAAAGTACAAACATACTGATGGACAAAATTTGGTGTGCTATTTATATGACCAAACTGATGGTTCTAATTTCATCATACTGATGCTCTTTATTAAGCAGAAATCCAATCTCCGTTTTCTTCTTCCACCAGCTTGAAATGTTAGACTGCTTTTCAGAGCCACAATTTGAATAAAAAAAAAAAAGGTAATAGGAAATTAAGAAAAAAAGTATTTATCAGATATTTCTTCTCTTTACACTTTTCTTATTTCAGATTGTTCTTACTTACTGAAATATTTTATCCTAAGTTATGTATGGTAACATTAATCATGAATTTTGTTTTGTAAGATTTAGTACTAGTAAAGAAACAATCTACTTTCTTACATGCTTATGTTCAAATCAATTTTTCATCGTTTGTATTGCAGATGGATCACTCCCACATTTTTATGCTCGAAAAACTGCTAGCTAATTCAGTGCCTCTCTTTTGAATTGTTTGTTTTCTTAAACTATGCACTAGTTTTCTTGTGGGAGTAGTTACCTTGTTACTAGTTATCTTGGGGGATATAGATATTCCCTCCTGCTGATTTTTTTTTTTTAAATCCTTAAGTTTTACCTACATATCTTATATGAGCATATGCACTTAACATTGTCATTATCCATTTTAGAGAGGTCAAATTACTTTTCACATTGGACTTGGCATGAAAAATAGAGCTATTGAGATGCACATGGAACCAGATGTGACTACTTCCTCGGTTTTGTTTTCTTGCTAAATTTTAGCCTCCTGGCAAGCCCATATGCAGAAGTGACCTGTGTGTGCTATTTTTTTAATATCAGTGTTTATAAAAATATTAATATCCTTTTATTCAGCTTTTTAAAATACACAAAGTGGCATGAGCTTGTCATTACTCTGGTAAAGGTTACTGAAGCTGAAATATAAATTGCTTATTGAAAAATAAAATTTTAACAGTACTATCAAAATGTGCATACACATATAAATAAGCCTATCTTCTGTAACAGTTGTTTTAGCAGTGATCTGTTTAAGCACTGAAGAGCTACACTACAGAGATTTATGTAAAAAGTATATTTTTTCAATCATGTATATGGAGACCTTTGAATTCACCATGCATAAGAGCTAAATAAGAATATAGCACATCAAAAGGAAAAAACAATGCAGAAATACTGCCTTTGGTACCATAAACAATATCAATGCCATTATCACTGGGCACAGAAAGGAACCATGCTGTCTTTTTCTTTCTGAATTTCTGGTCATGTCTTTCATATCCCAAATTAGCAATAAAATCAAGAAAAATAAGAAAACAAGACACTCAAATTTAGAATGTGCTACTCTGAGCATATTCAAATATTCAAATTTGTTCATATCAAGAGAAGCACAGCACACAGTTGCAAATTCCGTCATTTGTGCTTTCACTTAATAAATGAATGCCATATTTGGAGCACTCAGGACATTCTTTTTGAAATTGCAGTCACTGTTTTGAAAAGGCTAATGACAATGTTAACTTTACTAGTCTTTAGTTACAGGTTTTTTAAAATTGTTTGTTCACCTTGATGTGTTCTTCAACTGTTCTCGTACCCTGGATGCCAGGAGGACCGTGTGTCAGTTCCAACCCCTTCAGAGCTCTAGGAAGTTCAAGCTTACTGCTGAATGTTTTTATCACGTTTCCAATAGCTTTCAGGATAGCTGTAGCCTGTTCTATAAACCGGTAGCTCTCCTGGGGAGAGAGAAGAAAAGCAACCATCATTAGCCAAGTTGTTTCAAGATTTCTATTGTTTTATTTTGATATTTTAATAGTGTATATATATATATATATAAAAACTATGCTAAAGTATCAAACTTTTCTTAAAACAATTGCAATTAATTTTATCAACTCTCAAGTTGATTAGATCTCTAGTATCAAAGGCATTCCAATTTACACTGATTTGAGCTATTAAAATGAAAATAATAAAACACTAAAACAGGCAGCATAATATATCTGGTTATAGTTTTCAATTTGCCTGTATTACTAGTCCTAGAACTAATGAAAAATAAGGTGCTTGTTAGTGAAATACACAGCCTTGCTTGTCTTATAAAAGGACACAGATCAGTATTTGTACCCTGCTGAATACAATGTCCAAACACATGATGCCTAAGGCATTGTTAAGCTTCACCAAGATTTATGTGCAAGAATGTGGATACCATTTTGCAAAAGTGACTGAGAGAAACTGTTCTCTCAACAAAAAAAAAATACAGAGAAGACCCCTGGATATAATTCTGCCTTATTTTTAGGACAAGGAGAAGTCTTTCTTCTACCATCTGAAGAGAAGGGGCTGGTACAGAGATATTATTTTTTCAGTGGCTAAACTTCTTTCCTACAATAAATATCATAAATTCGCATGAGACACTATACTAACTTACTATTGGACCCTTAAATAACAGTGCTACATAAACTATTGTTAAATTCACATTTCAATTATTTTTTCATATTAAAATTAATATTATACTATTAAATACAGCAATTATATTTTATGATAATGACAATATATTGTTTTAAAAATAGATAGTAGTCACAAATTTAGCACAATCCTTCACTAGTTCTGGATACATATACCTTTTCAAGACTTGACATCACAGTATCTTCTTCTCCAAAGACACATGGCACCATGCTACACAGATGAAGATGATGTCCTATGGGAGAACTTACAGTGAAGAGCAACACATGCCGCCTACATTAAAGAAAAAGAAATCCAAAAATAAGTCCTTATTTTATCATAGAGATGCTTAAACTTTTATTTTCAAAAGAATAATCTCATGCATTAGATTTCATACAATAATTATTTTCAGACGATAATCCTTCCCTTGCTTCACTTGCTTCTCAAATCTTGCTACTTTAACTCCTTGCTTCTCAAGGACCTCCAAATATAGGTTACAGAGGCAATCAGAAAATTCACTATTTTATTTTTGCTTCTTAACATAATTTGTTTAGGTTTGTTTTTGTTTTCTAAAGGAAATATAAATATTTTGACTATTTCATATGTATACAAAATAAAGTTTCTTTTGTCAGTGACTACTTATAAGCAAAAATTAAAAATAAGCATCGTAGCTTGCTTGAAAACTTAAGTACATATTTACTCTAGAAAGCTTGGCATAAAAGTCAAGTGTTCTGATCATACCTAATGTACATCATAATTTCCATATTTGCATAGACAAGGATCAGAAAAATGTAACACATAATCACATGAGGCTAAAAGAATACTAGAGAATGACCATACTATTTATTGAGCAACTGTGGGCCAAACCGTTCTTTCTCAGCTGGAAAACCACAGAAATTCAGTATGCTTAATGGGTAATCACTGACCTCATTTTATTCTTGTTCAGCTGATCGTACCTTTTAACAGTTTCTAGCTATGAATAAAGTATTCTTTTAAAAGTGGTTATTCAACACAGGAGTCTCATACTCTCCAGTGAACACACCTGCAGTCCCAATGAAATACTTGAAGATCCTGCTAATATCAAATGCTGGGGCTTCACATTTTTGTTTCATTGTCACAGTGGCATTTAGCTGGAGGAGAACTTTGTGCAGGCCAGAAACTTAAGAGTTCAACAGAGGTCCAGAAATGAGAATAAAGAAGGAAGTGTGGCAAGTTTCTCCCCTACATATGCTCTTTTTCAATCTTTTTCTGAGTGAAATCTCAAATGTTCTCTGGCAACTACCAAACAGGGGGAACAAAGAGCCTTCCTGGCTTAGCAAGTCATTTTTCATTTGGAATGAAATGGAGGAGCAGTCAATAAACCCAATTCTCTCTCACACACACTGTAAGTCAAAGCTTGCTCAAAGCCTGCTGGCTCTCCCTACAGCAGGGAAGAGCAAAGGAGAGGTTATCATCTGTAGTAGCATCCCTGGTAGCTCTGAGATCTGCAAGTGCAAAAAGACACTTGCCTGACTTCAGACTTGTATTAATGGAATATTTATCAACTCAAAATTTCTAGTGGTATCTCCCCACAAGACAGATAGGCTACTTGTGGAAACTGCAGAGAGAAAATGCATATACTGACAAAACTAGCCTATAAATGTAATAATACCTTTTTTGGTTTTATTCTGATCTCCATATAGATGGAATCTCTATCAGAGGTTGTTGATGTAGTATAAACGTGTATTTTCTTTCTGTGCCTATTTATCTGAAACCCTCCCTCATTTCAGTTTGCTTTTATGGACTTAAAATATTTTATAGCTCTGTTTAATTTTCTGAAGTTCTTTTTGTTGTTCTGTAATTATATGAATTTTGTTATTGATATATTTATATTATAGAAATTACAGATCATCTTGGAAGAAAAAAGGTGAAAGCTAAGTTGATTACTTTTAGATACATTTTGTCTCATCTCTTTGAAATTAAACTGGTGCTTACTATTATTTCAAAAAACGAAAAGGCTGCAATGAATTCTTTGATAATATTATGCTTGTGGCGAGATATTACGATTTCATCTTCTTTTCTTCACTGGAAGCATTTTTTAAAAAAACTAACAAAATATCAAAAGGTTTTCATATTCACTATATTAAATCAATATAATATTTATTAAATATGTAATAGTCATAGAATAGTAATTAGATTTAATATATTTATTAGCATATACTTATAAATTAATATGATTTGTTTATTATATATAATATTTAATTTAGTATTTGTTATATTAACCAGACAATACTCCAAACTGATTATCTTGAGTTATGTGGAAGGAAAGATAAATCATACTAAGCATTAGTAATATGGTTTTGACACAACTTAATTTTGGAATATGAAGCAAGCTATGCAGGACTATTGGCAGATTACCTCAGATTTTTTTCTTTCATGCTTCATAAAATCTATTTAAAGAAGAGCTATGAAATTTCCTGCGGCATCAGCATTCTTTAACAATTCAACTAATCTTTGGATTGCTGTTAATACTTTCAGAAACATTTCAAAACATTCTAATTCTATTCAGAATTTTAAGTAAAAATTTGTATTCTAGTTACACTTTTAGAAAAGTGGTGTGATGAATATTCTGTGATATTCCTCCTCTTACTGCTTTCAGTAAAACTAAGGAATTCATTGTCTTTTTTAAGACTTTGATAATTATTTTAAATCCACAACAATTTTATGGTCACATGTCTTAGCTATTGAACGCAATTATGTTTTAGTAAACAAAGTCTTAGCTGCTGTGTAAAGGAAAGGATCCTTTCAAGCCTTAGGAATAATATTTTATGACAGAAATGAAGAGTCATACATACCCAGCAGGAAGATTTAACACAGTAGCCTTGGTTGCATATGTGTGCATTTTTAACAGAAGTTGACCAAGAGCCACACGTTTCCAAGAGAAATGTTCCACCATTAGTACTCCTTTTGAAATATCACAGCCTTCTCCTTGTGTAGATGCTAAAAATGAAGCAAAGAAAAACATCTGGGAGGAGGGAATCAAAGTAAAATTACAACAAATACATTTATGCAGAATTTGAATCTGGTTCACAGCCACAGAGTCTTCATTTTGGCTTTGAGCTCCCAAAGCAAAGAGCAGTTAGTTAAAAGTTGATAGAGAATATAGTTTAATCGTACAATCTGTTAGAAAATCATGGCTAAAACAATGTGTTAGGACAATGTGTAAATCAGACATCTTGCAAATCAACTAAGGCTGCTCTAGAACTATTTAGAAAGTCCATTCTGATCTCATGCAAAAGAAGCAATTAGCCAAAACCATTTTATATTTATATTAAAGTGATTTTAATAGGTTGATTTCCTTTTCTTCTTCTTTTCTTTTTCCTTTTTTTTTTAATACACTTTCTTTTGTCTTCTAGCTACTAGTCTGGATGCACTACAGTTATGTCCATACATTTATACATTAGATTAACTTAAACGAATTAAGAGGAGTTAGCCTTTCTAAATGTCTTTCTACAATTCCTACAAAACACAAGCAATTTTTATTTAAATTGGCCACTGTGCTGGATCTTGATATAAATTAGATGTAAATATATCTAAGAGCTTAGCGTGCATCAGTATAAAAATCATATCAAAAATCTACTTTACTTACATTGCTAACATAACTGAGTTTCAGTTAATTCAGAGAATAAAGCAATTTGCAAGAATTAAAATTATATAGAAAAAGATACCACAAAACAAATGAAAGCCATTAACTGAAAGATATAGATGAAAAGTGTATAGCAAATGATAATAAGTCCTAATGGTATAGGAAAAATATCCATCATCAATGGAAAGTAACAGGAAAATGCTGCTTTGACATCATTGTATTTCCTAAAACTAATGCATCTACTTAATTCCAAACCACAAAACTCTGACAAAAAATACACAGCTCAACACAACAGCACAGACATACTCAAGAGTAGGAAAACCCAGCATTAACACAGACTCTTTTCTGTTTGCCTTACCTCCAAAGTCACCCCAGCGTACTAATGCAGAAAAGCTGATCAGGATTTCAATGGGTTTCAGGCTATCCACAAATAAGTAATAGAAGACTCGATCATCAGCACACTGCATAGAAAATCAGATTTCATTCATCTTGCGTCTCCACTGAATATTGTCTGAGCAGACCTTTATAAAGTATGACTTAGAATTCAGATATTGTGGCTATGAATATAGCATGGGAGTGAATTAATTGTCATTACTGCTTACAAATTATAGACAGTATATACATATTATAGACATATCTATACAAAATATAGAGCCCAGATTCTCATGCTGCACCTGTGAGCAGTAACTTCCAGTTGAGAGATAAAAGGAAAAAAAATCACTTGGGTGAGAATATGTTTACTTTCATGGGCTTTTCTTTAGAATTACCTCAGTTTAGTCTTACTTGTCAGACAGCATTAATCAGATTGAATGGTTTTTGCTTTGCAGTTTTCTAATTACAGCAAGCTTTAAGGAAATAAGCTCCATTCTCTTAATGTGTTACACACTACATACAGGCATACATTGTCTTGATCTTCATTACAGCTTCTGGAGGTATATCACACAAAGAATGAGAAAATTTCCTGGGATTTGATTATGATAGAGGGCTATGAAATTACAGGTGTACAATAATTATGGAACATAATCCATATAATTAACCTTTCCAATACAAAATTTTATACAGAATTCATGCCTGAAGTTTACACTTGTCTACAATTATTCTCCAGCTAGAGTACAAAAGTAGAGCTGGAATAAACTCCTGATAACATGAATTGCCAAGTAATGGCAGGTTAAAAAATATACTGTAATTACACAGTAATTAACTGGTAATTCTATTCTCTAGAATAAGAATTTCACATATATAACCAAAATAGCATGTAAAGAGAAAATGAAAAGATACGATACATAGCTGGACTCCTGATTTGTGTTTTAGGTGACAAGTAAAGAGAAGAAAGAGTAGTTGAAAGGTGATTTCGGAAAATAAATCATTAATAAATACAATTTGAAGAAGTCCCTAAATTGCTATACAGTACATTTAAGGTAAGATAAAAAGAGCATGGAGATCTTATCCACTCTAATGCATACTCTCACTACAAACTTTCATGATTTATATCCTCAGTGTATTTTTGGATTACTATGCAACACCAATCCATAACAGTTGCATTTATTCTCATCTTAAAAACATTGAAATTCTTCTGGGTAATTGTTAGCAAGTTTTTTTTTTTTTTTTTTTTTTTGTAATGACTACTGTAATCTTAAGGATATCAACACAGCATTTGCATTACTATTTTTTCAGTCATAGTATTTCTATTATGTATCAACAAAATTTAGTATATATGTATTAGAAAATAAAGATTTCTTGGCAAAGATTAAATAAATTCATAATAATTTAATACAATCATATACCTTAAAATCTGCCTTCTGATAGTTATAAGCATATGTATGTGGTTTGTGGAAAACATGCAGGTTCCTAAGAAGAAAATAAAAGAAATATATGGGCAAGAAAATAATCTTTATATTAATGATATATTCCATGTAAATGTTTTTCATTTTTTATATGATACTGTATTTTACTTAGCAAATGGATTAAATTTTCATAAATTAGACTCCAAGATATTTCTCATAAATGTTAAAACATTTGGAGTGTCATAAAACACAATCCATCTCCAGTGAAAGCAGCTGACTATTTTCTACTTTTACCACATTTCTATATGTTTCTGTGGAGGCCAGGCCATTAACTTTTCCTACTTGAATATATAAATGGCAATAAGCTTTTAAATTTCCATGCTTACCCAAAAGTTACATTAATAAATATAATGTATTACTGTAAGGAAGAACTCTTTATATAGCTTATTAATGCTTTTTAATTTAATTAAAGCTATTAAGAAGCTTATTAATGCTTCTTTTCAAATTCAGTTCTTACATAGCTCCAGAATGCACGCCAGAGCACTCAAGATTTCTGACAGTTTTTTTTCGGGCCTTGATTTACTGAAAGGCAACATAAATGACTTCAGCTTTGACTGAGAACAAAATCAGACATATCAACTTTAAAAACTCTGAAATAGACCTTCTTTCTCAAAGTTAATACATATTTGGAATATTCATCTAATTTTCATTGTATCTGAGTTACAGACACATCACAAAAAGAAATGCTTTCCAAGAAACTGACTAGTGCAAGATTTTTGAGCAGCATTTAAAATCTTCTGAAAAATGAAACCTTCCTAAGTCAATCAAGAAGATTTTGTCAAGAGCTACTTCACCAATTTAGTGCAAAATTAAGCCAACTCTTTCCCCTTTAGGGACACAAATATGTGACAAATACTTGATACACTTAATATTGCCACAGTCTTCAAAAGACCAGCAGTCATTTAAAATTACACGGACAAGTTAAAAAAAATTCATAATTTATATTCTGTCTGTATCAGGCTTACTATGAGCAGGACTTTTAAAGGGAAGGGAATTAATTTCCTTGGGATTCTTCTTTCTAAAGGCAGTAGCTAGCTGGACATAGTGGTCCCAAAAATGAGTCAGACAACTCTTAACAAGCTGCAGTATGACCTATGGCCTTTTCTGTAGTGCTGCTGGTGCAAAAGGTATACCTTTGCCCTCATATACTCTCTCTGAATTTAACGTCTCATCAAAGAAAAAAAAAATACACTTAAGAAAATAACAGATAGACAAAGAAATCTGTTACAAACATAAAATAAGGAAAATGGTCAATTTTTCTGAGAAAATTACTCTTCTTGAGAAATACAGGATTCTTTAAAAAATCCACATTGTTTTATGCTCCTTAAGCCTGAAAGACAAGCTAAACACTCCCCAAATAGTGGGGAAATAAAAAAAGCAAGGATGTCAGCAAAAAGCAAATGACAGGCAAACAAGGTGACAATAACTAGATGGTGATTTGAAAAAACAACAGAACAGGCTCAACATTCTGCTAGCTCCCAGTCCACATCTGAAAGTTGAAAAGAAAAGAAAAATCAATTACATTTTTTTCCATAAGAAATTTTAAAACTGTTGGGAAAAAAAAAAAGGTTATTTTTTTCTGGAACAAGCTCTGCAAGAGTGGGAAAGCTAAACTGATTTATGGATGAATGTGGAAAATGAATGTTGCACTGATCTAGAACAGACTCCTCTATGTATTGCATGCTTTTGCATGCATAATATCTACTACAAAGTAGGAAAGTCAAAACTATATTTCTGAGTGTTGCCCTTGCAAATGCAAACCACTGTCTACAGCCCACCAATTGAGAGAATTTGTACAAGTCCAACTAAACAAACTCTGAAATATTAAAATCACAGACAAATAGCATGACTGAAGTTACACAGCTTAAACTGAAATTTCATCAAATATTCTCACACTATGCCTGAGTTTTTATTTATAGGTCTTTCTATTGACAGCTTAATTTTGTCTTTTATAAAAGCACTGCAGGCAAAGTTAGATGCTGACATCAGTTCAGTTGTATTATCTTTTTTTTTTAATGTTTGCAGAAGTATAAATGCCTGGTAACTTTGAAGGGAAGGAAAGAAAACATCTATTTGACCAAAATGAACTGTGCTGAGAGCAACAGAAAACCTTAAAACTTTGTTTCCTAATTATGTTGATTGGACATCCCAAACTCCCAGACTTTGACTGACTAGGATACATGAGCACTATAATCATGGCATGCTCCATGACCTACCATCTTCCATCCACACTGCATTCTGGCATGCACTATTGGTAGGTGAGGCTTGTGTCCCTCTGTGTACTTTGGAGGACACACTCTGGGCTGCACCTGCAGGCTACTGTCAATAGAGACAGTAAGCCTGGGCTGAAGGGGGTTCATAGGATGACCTTGAAAGGCAGTATAGTTATAACCATGCAGTGAATATCTGTTGATAATGTTATGTACTCACTTTCCAACTTTTACCATTGCTATACTTTATATTTTAAAGAATAAAACTCCAAACTGCTGTTTCTTACTGGAAACAAATACAGAAGTCTTCAAAGCTAATCCAAGTTTCCTTGGAAACAGAATTCTTTTCTAACTCAGTTTTTGCCTTTGATTTATTCACCATCTGGCAGTTAATACCAGTATCAGCTATTTGTGATGTTTGTGATGCTTCAAAAGTCATATTCTCATGTAATTCTTCTGCAAAGACAAGAAGACAAGATTTGATACACTGACAATATGCACACACATTAAAATAGCATCATTCTTATACTCAAAAAGTGACTGAAACAAATCTGTATTCATTTTAATTGCAACTGCTCCCTGATATGAGCACATTTGGTGAACATACATATAAATTCTGCAAAGCTGAAATTACCTAAATAAAGAAAAACATAACCCCATTTCCAAAGCTTCTCTTTAGATAAAAGAAGATATAGCAGAATGCTAAATTTTTTATAATCCTCCGAGGATCACAACCATACTGAACTGCAGAGGACACTAAGACCTATAAAGACTGAGGTGTAACCTTGCCTCTGCTGCCTAGAGCAGTCAGCTTGTAAAGCTCCTTGCAAAAGTCAAAGTACTTCTTAAAAGAGAAAAACAGATGTGAACAATATTACACAAATTTCCTTGTAAAATCAGATCACCCACTGTCAGATTCATAATAAAATATCAATACAGAAATATATACATATGTTGTGCAGACACATTTTGCAATTATTTTGTAATTTATTTTAAGTTTTGCTGAAGTGCCATCCTCTCTGATTGGTACAACAAAAGAGAAAGCTAATTAGAAAAATAAATAATGCATTTTAAAATTTCCTTTTAATATTTCATGATCAGTGAAACACACAGTGATCTTCTGGGTCACGCTTAGGATGTAGATGGCTCTAAATCATTTTGCAATTATTTCGCAACTATTTTTTCAAGAATTTATAAAAGCATCATGTAAGAAAATGCGCCAAAGATCTTTTCTGCTCTCTTACACTCCGGAAAAACTACTTGCAAGCTATAAACTCTTTTTTTTTTTCTTTTTTTTTTAAACAGAGTTAACACAGATTTTAGGCCTTCAGCAAAGTAACTATAGTGCCTGGCTTACAAATGTACATATCCAAGGGAGTATATAACACTGCTATCATCAGAGCAGAGCCATGTCACAAATCATCCTGGGGCTCAATGCTGCAATTCTTTATTCATGATAACAAGGGCACTGTCAGTTGATGTTGCTCAGAATCTATACAGTCAACATATCTCTGTAGCCTTCAAACAGAAGGTGGGATGTGTCCTATTCAGAGGTTAATACATAAATATCTCTACTGAGATGTTTATGCATGCATACTGAATTTAAGGGGAAGGTATCTCTTCCAGTGCACCTAAAGAAAGGCAAAACGGTGTCAACAAAAGGGCTAAATTTTTCTCATTTCTCTTTGAAGAGGTGAGAATCCTGTGGGAAAGTCGTCAAAAAACATACTTTCTCCTTTTTGATCTACTTATTTCCAAACACAGTGCAATGTTCCGATGTTCTCTGGCACCGCACAGAAATATGATTAAAGAAATAATGTAACAAGCTGTTATCTCTTGTTTACTGATAGACAAGAAGTGCAATTAACAGCTATGAGAAACCACAAACACTGGATGATGTAATGAAGATTTGATTTACAGAAGAAATCTATAAATAAAATGCGAAGTAAATATCTTAAAAGACAGGATTAAGAGTCAGAATTAATTAGTATTTTAAGACTGACAAGTGAAAGAATTTCAGCAAATAATTGTCAGTAAATACGAAAAACAATTATTCTTTGAACAAATCCAAATCCTAATCAAATACAGAGGGATGTTATGAACATATTTTAAAACTAAACACTGCAGAGAGCTTCATAAAAGCTTTCATAAAACTGATGCTGTTAGCTAGCATCAAAGATTTTATGCTAGCTAACAAACAAAAGTTTCTGAAGATCAATTATATATCCAAGAAATTATGTCTTTAGATGTAGCAATTTACTTATAAAACACCATTGGTCTCAATAAGAATACTTGTGAGACTTTTCAAACTTGTTTCAAGTGAACAGAAAGAACAGAAAAAGTACTTTTGTACACCCTTTCTCTTAAATAAAACACTTTCTATAGATTCCTTTCATTCAATTTTGGTCTATTATTTATGCTCTGAGATGTTCTGTGGATTTTAAAGACTCATAATAAATTGTTTTGAAATAACAGGAATCTGAAGTATCTCATACAAGATACAAGATACAAGTGCATGATAGTGCAAAGCATTAAATCCAGATATATTACTAAGCTCTTTCCTTATGGTTCTTCTCAAGAATTTCTGAATATATTTCAGTTTATAATTAAGATTTTAAAAAGAACTGTATTATTTAGAAGGCAGTAATCATACCTGTACCACAGGCAGGATTCTGCTCACTGAATCATTACATAAAGCTGGTGTAAATGAGTTTTCCATAGAGAGGTGAGAAAATATGGATTCATATGGCCTGAAGATAGTGAAAAGAGGACCACAGCACAGAAAACAGTTACAGTACTTAAGTGAGTTATTAGCACCGTAGGCCAGAGCCTGGCAGAACACAGTTTGCTGAATGATCTTTTGTTGAACGGACTCATACAATGTATTATTACATCTACCATTCAGCTTTCTCATGTATTCCCATGTTGCCTGCTGTGTAGATTCATAATAAAGCAAAAGTTCTTTCAGCAGATGATATGCACTAGGTGATAGGCACAAAGGAAAAGTAAGAACAGGAGGAATCTATTCCAGCACAGCTAAAGCACTGCACATTTTTCAGCTTGCTCTTAGGAACAGGAAAATTCTCTGAGGATAAATAATAATTTAATATATTAATATTAATATTAATATTAATATTAATATTAATATTAATATTAATATAATAAAAATTTAATATTAATTAATAATCTTTCCTTGAATGGGTATTTCTTGAGTAGTTTTCAGTAAGCATTTTGGAAAAAAACACTCTGACTATACACTAACTTCAGAATCTATTGATAGCAGTGATTGCTACAAAAATCCCCCAATATCCCAATATAGTTGTGACAGGTTTTATAGTCACTTACTGCAAACTACTACATTTATATAAGGTTGAGCTAAAACAGATGCAGAGCTGTGAGACTAAAACTGGAGAATATCTTTCCAGCTAAATTACCTGTAGAATTTTGATACAATGAGTACCTTTTATTTTGGGTCTTTTTTAACTTGGATAACATCACAGAACATATTAAAATTAATATTAAAATATTAAATATAAAAATATTTCTTTGAAAGCTTTTATTGTAAAATAAATAGTCATAACTAACTAATGATGTTACTTTACATGAAGATTAACATTGATGTCAAAACATATGAAAGCAGCAGAAATTGGAATATAAACTTAAAACATTCTTACCTTTCTCAGGCTTCTCTGCATTATGCTGCTGGAAGGGGGTCTCCTATAAGTGAAAAACAATGATGTGTTGGGGATAACATTTTATTATTTTTTAAAGAAAATAAACATTTTATTTATTTTTATTTGTGCTAATAATATTAAAATGTATCATAGAAATATTAGAATTCACTGTAATACCTATACGTTTATCACCAGTTGATAGACTGCTTTTCTAAAAACTAAGAAATTACATGTGATCTGGAATTGAGGATAAAAAATGCCTACTCCTCTATTATTAAAAAATGCTCTTTGATATGACTACTCTTTGACAATAAAATAGTTTTAAATATTTTCTACTCCAAAACAAGAACCATGCTCCTTTTCAAGCAAGCATCTATTTCTTTGCTTCCAAGCATATATACAATTGTCAATTGAAACAGCCTACCTCATTGTTCTGGGATCTTTTGTTTTTCATCAGCAGCATAAATAAAAACATTGCCTGGTCTTTTCTTTTTGCTAATGTAATTTTATGCTGGTCAACACCCCTCTTTCCAAGCTAGAGGAGTTGCACTAGTCTGTAATATCCACTTAAGTTTGCAGTTGAAATAAGATCACCACCTCTGAAAGTCAGTTTTCCACATGTATAACAAAGGTGCAATCTCTTCTTTGAAAGACCAAAATATTTAATAAGCTCTAAAACATGCTCTTTATTTGTCTTACCTCCTACCTTCAATATGACTTAACACTCCACGAGGCTCACTATCTTTTTATGAGGGAGATTGGCAATATGGGGGAAGCTCCATACTTCCTTGCCATTACTGAGTTGGATATGGCACTATTAACATGTTAAACGATCCAGCTTAAACTTTGCACAGAAAAATACCAGAGCCTATGAAAGCTCCTGAAACTAATTTGCAAGCTTCTTTTCATGCTAGCTGTCATTTTACCAAGCATTCTTTCTCCCACCTCAACTCCTCATATACACGCTTTTTTAAACACATGTCAAAGGTGATAATGCTGAAGCAGATACCACTGAGCTAGACAACATCTCAACATAAATGGTGATTTTCTGTTCTGCATTTCAAAGGGGAAGCTTAGGGGCTACACTGACGCAAAGCTGCTTTTATGCTTTTCTCAGTGCAATCTAGAAAGTTGTTCTGAGAGGTAGATTGGCATAATTTAAACAGTTTAAACTAGACTACAGCATGACCATGATACCTAAGGGTTGCACACTGTTATGTGCTGTAACTCCACTTCTAATGTGATCCTCATGTCATAGTCCCACCCTTGCACTTTAATTCGTTGCTGAAATTCTTTCTCAAGCATTTCACAGCATGTCCATGGCATAAAGGGCCCAGAATAATTCGGAATCTTGCCAACTTGTCAAAAATATAGGTATTTGATCTTCTTTGAACTAATTACAAAGAGATGTTAGAATAAACTATAGATCCCGGAGTCTCTATCCCAAACCAGGAGGTGTTTTCATCAATAATTTAACGCTAACAATTTACCTGTATCACTACTATATTTAATTAAGAGATTTTTGAAAGGACCATTTTTGCACCAAAAAAAGACCCTAAATTCTATTTTAAATCTATATTTTAAAGAAGGTTCACAAACAATAATAAGCCTGATGATAGGCTTATGATGATTTAAAATATACAGCTTTTTGAAAGGGTTTGCATTGTTGAACAACTGGGAAATTGAAATATTTTCAGTTCTTGTATGTCTCTTTTTAGAGGTATATCTAGCTTTCTAGAGCAAAAGCACTGAAGGCACCATAAAAGGATGTTGCAACTATTGGCCCTCATACTTCAGTTTCTGTTTCCAAGTTTCTCTACATTCAACTTCAGAAAACGAAACTTCAGAAACTGAGATGACTTCTCATGTGACATTCGTGACTCAACACTTGGGTCTGAGCACTCTCCCCTTCCAACCTTAATAGAATCCACACACAGAGATGCTGTATTTCTGCATGGGAGTCTGCAATCTGTGAGGTTCCAGCACATGTAGGTTTCTTCTAGGATGCTCAGGGTTTACCAGACAGGTACACACCAATTGCACAATCTCTCAGGTTTCTCAGAAATTGTATTTCCAAGGTATATGTGTTCGATTTACTTTATAGACCTTAGAAACCGTCATGTTTGCACCACGAGCCTAACACTTCCTTGCAGATTCATTGTTCATACCAGTACACAATCCATGCTTCTAGTACAGACATGAGGTATCTTACGGTACAGCCACTGTGTTGCAATTAATATCTGCCTGCTGGAAGGCCTGGAGGAATACAGAAAGTCCTCAAAAGCTGCTTTGCTAGAATTTCCACTGAAGAAGAACAGAACATGGAAAATCTGAATGCCTAGGACTGTTATTTAAGCCTGTTTCTGTAATCGAGCCACAAATGCATAATGAATCCTGTAGGCTCCCTTACGCTGTTTTCTGCAGTGCAGATATAACACAATCAACAGCTGTCCAATTCTAATGGTATGGGATGTATCTGTCTACCTAAACCTCACAGATTTTAGAGCAGCAGGCAATATTAGAAAGCTCCCATTCTATTTTGCTATTGCCTCAGCAACAGTAACAAAGACACTGGCACAGAAAGGGAAACTAAAGGCATCCTGCCTCTTTAATAAGCCCACATTGTCTGAAAAGGTCAAATCTGCTGCCACAGTATTCGACAAAGAATGAGATAAAAGAAAACTGGGATCCAACTGTGAAACATGAAAGGATGCACACATTTGGACTCAGGGAGAATTCGGTTACATAACGTTCCTTCTGCATGTCAATCAAATTGATGAAGAGAAAATCACTACGAGATCTGAATGCAGAATGGGAAGAAAATATGCTGATAAACTTAAAATCTGATTTGTCAGTTTTTATGCTTTATAATTGTTAATACGTTACTATAAAATATCCTGTTCATTTTGCTAATTAATTTGTATTGCTCAACCTCTTAACATTAGCTATGTGTTTATTTTGTTCAAATCCAACAAATAATAGAATGTTTTTATAAAACTGCTATCTTTTTATTTATCATAGAAATTGTGCATGGCAATCATTTTACACCAGTTTTTATGGAAATTTTCTTCCTCTAGAAATAAGTTCTTCAGCTATAATTAATTGCAAATGAAACAACAAAGTTCCAAATATCTTATTTTTATGATTAAAAGAGCATTTTAAACTACTTCCAAAAAGAAAAAGACGACTAAGGTCTTCACATCTACATTCATTTGGACACATTCTCTTATTCATAAGTTTACTGTTCTCACTAATTTCAGTATTAGAACTAGTTTTAGGCACGATGTGGGAGAGAGTAATGGAAGTGACCTTTGAGACAAAGCAACAATTCAACAATATGAACAATTAAAGGTCTAATGTGCCCAAAACAGTACGTAGGAATGATTTAAAAATGCTGGATTATCAGCTCATCTTCTCTATTAAGTAGTCTTCATTTAGCGTTGTCCAAATCTGTATAAATAATTGGATATCCACAAGCCTACTCAGAAAGATGCTCTCTAAAGCACAGGTGTCTAAACTGAGGATTCACTTCTAATCAGATTTCTCACATCTCTTGTGCACTCCCTTTTCCTGAAAAATTAAGAGGGGAATCTTCATTACATGCAAATCAAAATCAGTTTTGAGAACATGCCATCATTCAAGAAAATAGACTTTTTTATTCTCTATCTAGAAGTCCTGTTGACTCAACACCTCTTCACTGGGCTTATGAAATATGTTATGAGAAGAAGAGAAAGGTTGATATGACACAACAGTGCTGGAATATATAAATCTTGACAGAATATTAACAAAAAAAGGCACAAACACAGCTAGCAAACTAAACAGAATACTGAGACTGACATCAGTGGTAAAGCAGAAGGTATGACTGAGCTTCCATGCTTAAAGACATCACTAAAACTCAGGAAAAGAAGAGGTAAACAAGAATATTTATGAAAAAGTGTACTGTGTTGAGATCAATGGGACAGAGTAGTGATTTTTAACCCTTCTGCTCTAGAAAGCAGCAATGAGGCCAAAGACTATGAGGCTGAAGAAGTCACAATGATAAATCAAGCGGGAGCATTCTGCTTATGATTTCTGGTGACAGTAATCAGGTAACTCTACTAAAATATTTAATATCCTTTGGCAAATTCTGAAGATAGACATAGATTAACTTTTCCTTGACTTGTTCCTGTTCAACATTTTCTCAAACCAGAGGATCAAGACATTTCTTCTTCCCAATGGTTCTGTAACCACTAGTTGCTTAAGAAAACAAAACACTAGGTATGCACTGTGTAGATATTTACTGTTATTTCAAGTATTCAAATCAGGGAAAGAAAGCCCTCCCATCCCATCAAGGACTCCCCTCCTAGAACTATCTCTATAATTTTAAAAGTTTGTTTTTGTTGATTAAGATTTTCATATGTAAATAAATTATTCAGCAAGTAAAAAACGATATTCATTTCTGCAGTTTGATTGCAGCTCAGTTTACACAGTTCAGCTATTGAAAGGCCCAACATACTTCAGCTGAGGTTTAAACTTCGGCAAAAGTAAATATCCAAGCACAAGCTAATTAGCTGTTCATAGCTTCTTACACTTCATGATCGAATCAGATTACTCTTGAGCAGAGGTACACTCATTTTTCTTCTTATATTTCCATTTTTATCAGTGTCTGTCATGTGTTTTCATACTTGCCCTTGACTCTCCTTAAATACACGCAATACTGGGGCAGACAGACCGGCATTCTACAGTCTGAATGGTTTTTACACGCATGGACAGGAAGGGAAAATGAAAGTGATGTTCCAAGCTACTGTTGTGCTTTTAGCACATAGATGTCTATCACTTTGTAATTAACTATATCTATGTTTGTACAGCTGGAGAGGCTGAAGTCATACAACTAATAATTATCATATGTTTTAAGAAATTACTTCCAGCTTTTTACCCTGCTGCTTTTGTAATGATTTCCATGACTTGCAATTATTAAAAAGACTTTAAAAAGGTCATGAAGTATTAATTAAACTATTACTTGTGGATAAAATGTACACAAAACACAGAATAGCTAAAAATATATACCATTGCAAAGACTTCTCCTTCACTACAGAATTGTTTTATTTTTAATTCTTAAGTACCCACTAATATACCCCCACACCTGCATACCTTCCATACACACAATAGATAGAAAATAAAACAACTGAAATTCAGACCTAGAATATTAGAATGGCATTGTAATACACTCTGAAGAGGAAATGAGGATGGATTTTTATGGTATATGTTTATAAAGATTAAGTTTTTCTGGTAGTCATGTGCATAGGTATATCCTTCATTGCAGGTGGAATAGAGTTAATTAGTTCATGAAATACACATTTATTCCTAAAGGTACGTGACTATCTTGTTAAAGTTTTCCCTATCAAATTGATTTAAGAAGCCAACCAAAAATTTTTATAGTATTAGTAACAGTATTGTAAGAATCTGAGGAATAAATTATAGCAAAATGTTAAAATGAGAAATGTTAGTACACATACCTCACCCAGCAGGCCTCAATGAAACTATAAAATGAAGGAATAGGTGAAGGTGTGTTATATAAAAAGAGAAAGAAAAAGCTTACAAAAAAAGATGCTTTAAAATCCAAATTTCAGTACTCAGTATTTTCTATTTTGTCTTTCACTATCCTTTGCAACATAAAAGTAGATTTTTGTAATTAACAAGAATAATTATTACCTTATTATCTTCTGCTTTTACATGTCTCATATTTTGATTCATATCCACAGTAATATCATTTTCTTCTTCTTCAGTAAGAGAAGGGAAAAGGCATACGGAGGGAATACTTCTTTTCATGGTAGTCCTTGGAAAGTGACTAAACAATAAAACCAAAGAATGTTCAAATACATTAATCCATGCATTTGCTTTCAAACCACAGGCTTTATAACTACTATTTTTACCATTTTTTTTTTCAAAAAATAGTCTGAAGAGCAAAGCGAGGTGACACAGTCAGAAGTAAGTATATTTCTATGGTCCTTAAGGGAGAAAAGAAAAGAAAACAAACAAACGAAAAACTCTATGCAAATGAAGGTGGGGAAAAAAAAAAGAAAAAAAAAGTGTTTCTGCCACTGGATTAGTTATGTCTTTCCTGTCAAAACTGATCTCCATGGCTACCAGACAGCTAAAGTCTAGGAAAACCAAGGCAATTTGTGGAAGGTCTACTTCTGCTGTAAATGGAACCTATTTCTCTGATTTCAGTGGAGGCAGATGTGAAAATAACTGACAGAAATAAAAATTACTGTTCACTTGTTAAACAAACAAGAAGAACCAGATCAAAAAATGTTGCACACATGCCAAACAGATGTAAATGTGTAATTGTTTTATTAGAGCAATAAAGATCAGAGAAAAATGCATGCCTTTTTTATCTAGTCTCTTCTTAAAGACTGAAATAATGAAAGATCAAGATCTCTAGCAACAACTCTTTCTTTTGAGTGTTTCAAAATATTTCATTAGAATAAAAGCAAGAGACTAAAAACAGTTTGTCTCAATTGTGAATGTTATGTTATTTATGCAGCTATATTATTTTAAGATAATAATTCTTACTTTTTTTTAATATCTGTTAATTAAATTGCAAGACTAAATTAACTGATTGTCATGGAAACTTGTACATTAAGAAAATGGTCCTTGACAAGTGATAAGTGAACAAGGAAGCAATCTATTAAATATGAAATTATAGTTATGTTAATATTCAAATACTGCATTTTAATGATTAGTCACTGATTTTAATAAACTTACAGGTATTATTTAAACATTCAAAATATACAACAAAAAATGTAATTTAATGTACTATTAACTGTAAATTGCAACTTTTACCAGCACAGCTATGATATTCCCAGAATATTCCATAATAATCTATTCTTATTTTTTTTTCCATAGAAAAATACTACTGTTAAAAAAAATTCACTAGTTTATTATAAATCTTTTCAATTAGGATGAGAATGGAGTGGTTGTCAGGTACATAGTTTATATAGATTATGAGAGTACTTCTCAAAAGATGCATATATATACCGATGCATACACAGCAATATACAAACAGATTCTTGTTCAAAAAAACAAATATCCTTCAAAAACAACATGAAGCTTTTAATGCTTATTCAGTACATGATGCTTCCATGCTTCCCCTGCCAGAGGTTCAATCAGAATGACAGAGAGGAGATCAATAATTCTAGTGGTTCTACTGAATGATCATATCACTGGCTGAAACCTGACAATAGACCCTTATGTTTCATATATATGGGGGAAAAATGAAAAAAAAACAAACAAACAAACAAAAAAAGGACCTGGTACATTCCATGGTTATCCTTCTTCTCTTGCCTGTGAGCAGTAGGTTATGCTGAATATTGAATATTGACTAGAAGTGCTGCGCTGTATGCTGTTACAACAAAAATGAACTGGTAGCTGACAGAGTTTTACTCATAAATCCATGAAAACACAACTATCATCAGTATAAATGGCATACTGTTTCATTCAATCACTCTGAAATCAAGGAAAATACTAACTAGCTACTTAACGATTCCCCCTTTAATCTAGTTAAAAGACTGTCAAAGTTTTATTTGCAAATAATTGAGAAAGACTTAAGGCAAACCTTGAAAAATATTTAAGAATATTTCTATTCTGGCTAAAAGAATTTTCAAATGTTCTACTCTTCTGGACCACTATTTTGGAGACACTGGCAAAATGCTTTAAAGACAAAATAAAACCTTTGAGTAAAGTGATAAATCTTTGAGGTATAACTGCACTTTCATTTTCATTAAAGATACCTGACCCTTTGCCTGGACATCTAGTAGAAAGCAAACTAGAAAGCAAAATTAAATTGAGATTACAGTGGTTTTGCTCCATAAATCATTTCAAACAACAATTTTACGCTCAATTCTATGTTTTACTTGGGGAAGAATAAGGATTCAAAGGTACAAAATTTTCATGCTTTCAGGACAGTATTCTGTAGAAAAGATAAAGGCTGAGCCTTTTGTGACTACCAATCAGGTGAAATGCTCACAGTTCACTGAGCAACATCAGCAAATAAATACAGGCAGTATAGGAAAGCAGTTGTGGTTGAATGCACAGACACTAGTGAAACAAGAGGATTCAGCTTGAAATGAAATATAAACAATTAAACATGCAACACGAATAGGGACACACCTGATCTGATGCTACCAAAGGTTGCTCCGCCAGCATGGCCAGCCCTGCCTAGGCCTGGCAGAACTGTTCATGCAGCCAGGGGACTGTCAGCACAGGGTGCAACAAGAAGGGATCCAGCCCTCTGGTATGCTCGCTGCCCCTGCTGGGGTGTTTTCTCACTGTTGTGTGGAATAGTAGATTCTAGGGAGCATCTCCAGGCATATGGAGGAGAAGAAGCTGCTGAGGAGCAGTCAGCATGGATTCACCAAGGGGAAGTCATGTCTGACGAACCTCATAGCCTTCTATGATGGGGTGACAGGCTGGCTGGACGAGGGGAGAGCCGTGGATGTTGTCTACCTTGACTTCAGCAAGGCTTTTGACACTGTCTCCCATAACATCCTCATACGGAAGCTCCGGGACAGTGGACTAGACGAGTGCACGGTGCGGTGGATCGAGGGCTGGCTGGATGGCAGAGCTCAGAGGGTGGTCATAAATGGGGCCGAGTCCAGTTGGAGGCCTGTGGCCAGTGGTGTCCCCCAGGGGTCAGTGCTGGGCCCAGTGCTGTTCAACTTGTTTATCAATGACCTGGACGAGGGCACGGAATGCACCCTTAGCAAGTTTGCGGATGACACCAAGCTGGGTGGAGTGGCCGACACTCCGGAGGGCTGTGCTGCCATCCAGAGGGACCTGGACAGGCTGGAGAGTTGGGCAGAGAGGAACCTCATGAGGTTCAACAAGGACAAGTGCAGGGTCCTGCACCTGGGGAGGAATAACCCCAGGCATCAGTACAGATTAGGGGTCGACCTGCTGGAAAGCACCTCCACGGAGAGGGACCTGGGAGTCCTGGTTGACACCAAGTTAACCATGAGTGAGCAGTGTGCCCTCGTGGCCAAGAAGGCCAATGGCATCCTGGCCTGCATCAGGAGGAGTGTTGCCAGCAGGTCAAGGGAGGTGATTCTGCCCCTCTACTCAGCTCTGGTGAGGCCGCACCTGGAGTACTGTGTGCAGTTCTGGGCTCCCCAGTATAGGAGGGACGTGGAGCTTCTCGAGAGGGTCCAGAGAAGGGCAACCAGGATGATTAAGGGAATGGAACATCTCTCGTACGAAGAGAGGCTGAGTGAGCTGGGCCTGTTTTCTCTGGAGAAGAGACGGCTCAGAGGGGATATGATTAATATGTATAAGTTCAGGAAGGGAGAAAGCAGGGAGGAAAGGGACAGGCTGTTTTCACTGGTGGCCAGCGATAGGACGAGGGGTATTGGCCACAAGCTGAAACACAAGAAGTTCCATCTCCAGGTGAGGAGCAACTTCTTTACTGTTAGGGTGACAGAGCAGTGGAACAGGCTGCCCAGGCAGGTTGTGGAGTCTCCTACTCTGGAGGTCTTCAAAACCCGCCTGGATGCCACCCTGTGCCACATGCTGTAGGTGTGCCTGCTTGAGCAGGAAGGTTGGACTAGATGATCTGTAGAGGTCCCTTCCAACCTTAAATATTCTGTGAATCTGTGAATCTTATAAAGCTTAGAACATGCTAACTCCCATGGGAGGCCTGTGCAAGTAAAGGAACCTGCAGTCCCAGAAAACAGGGTAACCCTCTTGTTGGCCTGTGGCCAGCCAGCCAGAGCATGCATAACATTGCATGTATGTGCGCTTGTGTGTGCATTATGTGTGATCAGAAATAGTTGTTAGAAGGGGTTCTGAAGTTTGTGTGTGCTAATTGACATTCTGTAAGTGTCTAGCATCACGGTTTAGCTGTTTTATTGCTGATCTTAATCATACAGTTCTCTGAATGCCTATTAATTATGTGTTATCAATAAATCAATAGATTGCTTTGATCTTGATGTGCTTTAAAATACATCTACCAAGCAGATTTTTCCCCTCTGAGACAGATAAAAATTAGCCACTGTATTGTTGCAGTATAACTGATCAACAGAATGATGGGAATGCTGGAACTACATTGAATACTTACATATCTGTTGGCATTGTAAGAATGTCGATTTTATAATTCAAAAATGCACTAGCAATCTCAACATGTTCTTCAGGTTTCTTTATTATAGGTTCTGTAAAAGATATAACTTATTAAAGATATATTCATATGAAATATTTACTACTACTTAACACTATAGTTTTCCCTGATAAATAATTTCCATTGGGCATATCACCCCAAATAATTCTAAAGGACTTCAGGAGAGAATCTCTAAGTATTCTCTCACACACTTGACTGGAAAAGAAAAACCTGGCATGGCTTCAGATGACGTATTATCTCAGAACGATGGTAGCACCACTATGCCATTGTCTAATTTAATCTATTTCTTATTCCAGTATATTTTGAATGTGAAAAGCTTTCATATCTTCATCTTCTTACGTCATGTCACTAATGCAACTTTGTTATACAGCATTAATAAACACTAAACCATATGTTTACTCCTAAAACTAAGTTGTTAGTTGCAGCACGTCTAGTCACTATTTCAAATATTTAAAAAGTGTAATGACTCTACATAAGAAAGCTGTGGCAGTGTTCTCATTATAACCCCTCCTAATTTTATCAAACAGAGTAGACAGTTTTCTTAGAAACATGGTAAGACACTTCTTAAAGTATTTAAGAAATAATGAAGTCAAGGGAGAGTATAAAAATAGACCCCACCACCAAAGGAAGAAAAGCAATCCCCCAGGCAGTTCCACCGAAACTACACTAAAAGAAAATGATTGCAAATACAAACACGGGAATGTTTATAATGATTCAGGTGTAACTGACAGTTACAAAATTTGCTCTGGAGGTCTGACCAGACGAACCTTGTGGTTCAGATGTCACGATAGTTTCTTTTTTCTGGCGGAAACGTTTCCAGCGAGGAACCTGTGGCGACTGTGGTGGTGCTACCAAAGGGCAGGACCTAGTTCTAGTAATCAGGACAGGATGGCTATATAGGTGGGAAAGTCCATATTGCCTCAGCTTCTCTGAAGAATCAGCCTATGAAATACAGAAAGACAACCTGACCAAGGACAGCTCTCCTTTTTCATCACTCCTCTTGTAAAAACCAACAGCATGCGTGCAGAAGCATCCAATAATTTAGGATTATTCATGAAAAAAGAACAGTTCACCTGACAATAATATTATTAAAGAACATTCTAACAAAGACTGATTTTCAGCAGAAAATGTATTATGGAATACCTACAAGTATATACACGTATTTTACTTTTCATAATAAATTTGTCACTTCTTTCAACTTTTTTATATAACCAGATGCTTTTAGACATATGGTTTTAGACACAGGCATACGAGTTAAGCAGAATGAATAAATAACAGTGATATTATTTTAAGTATAGATTTTTAAAATACTTTTCCTGAAGAACAGTCCTTACATAATGGTGTGTAAACGCTTTTATAAAAAGTGGCAGAATACTAACAGCAACTGGTCTTTTTGCTAGCTTGTGAAATCTTCGTAAGATACTATAAGATACCATAGTATCACTTTGAACCAATGTCATTAAAAATAAACTTTTTATGGCTAGTTTAGAAAATGCATTACAAACTCGTAATAACAGAGCCTAGTTGAACAGTAGGCTTAGAAGCAATTATAAGCGTGGACACTGAGTGGTGCTCTTCCCATTAAGATATGGTCCGATACTTAGCTATTTTATTTCTTCACTGTTAATGTTCTTTTTCAAGATTTGTATATCCTTAGTTTTTATTTAAAAATACATTTCCTGTTGCTTGTTAAATAAGTCACCCATTGCTTATTTCTTTAACGTGCTTATCAACAAGTCTCTGATCCTTCCTGCTCACTGGAAAAGTTTCCTTAGACTACAGCTATAAATTCTGCAGTAGGACTGTAGTTGTAATTATTGGAGTGCCTTAAAAGGAGAAGATCAAATTAATCATATTAGGATTCAAAAGTGCTTTATAAGACTCATTTCATCTTGGAATATCTATGGATAGGTCACAGAAGTAGTGACTAAACACATTTAAATAACCTTTTTTTTTTTTTTTTTTTTTTTTTACCAAAACACTGTTTTAGACATACAGATTCATCTGCCTTATCCCATCTAGCCTGTCATGCCTCTTTCTCAATAATCTCTATACACTAATGGACTGAGGCCAAGTTTGAGATTCACACTCAAGACTTACATGTCTACAAACACATAAACCTTATGTTGCTGCTTGGAAAATGCTTCTCGTTGACCATCACTAGCAAAATGCCTACCTTGTCTAAGACCTTAAATCATATAGGATAAAATCACAAAGATAAAGCTAATCTTTAAAATAACATAAAATACACAACTTTAAGGAAGAAAACAGTGCAAGAATTAAATGCAGTTAACTGTAAGACCTACAAAACATTTTTGGAAGTATCCTTTCTTTATTCTAATGAAGCCTATCAGTTTCCTGAAAAGGTAGATTAAATTTTAATGTTCTAATTATGTGACATATGATTAAAATATACAGAAATCAAATCTAATTAAGAATTTAATCAAGAAAGCTTGCTCTGGTATTTATAAATAGTTTTCTGTGGAGAGTGAGTGGCTAAGTGCTTTAAGTATTGTTTTTTATATAGATATATGCTCAGTATTCTCCAGCTACTTTCATCAGTTGCAATACTAATGACATAAATGTACAAAAACATGCTATTTCTTATAGAGCAATCAATCTGAAAGTATATATTAGAGAAGGCCTGAATTGTATTCTAAAAAAACTTTATAATTAATGTTTTCAAGTAGCACCACTTGCAATAATTAGTCCAGCTATTTTTTTTCCATTCACAAATATCTCATGATGATCTGTTTTCTCCTTAATCAGAGACTTGGGGGCTCCAGAGGAAGGGGAAGTAACACTGAAGGATGATCAGGGTTACAGTTGGAAAATGTATGATCAGTATTTGGAAGAACTAAAATATAAATTTCACTGACAGTCATTTCATGGGGAGTGTTTTACTGTGCTACACTTTTTTACAATTTAACTGCTACAAAAATAAACTTCTTAATAGTAAAATACATAACATTTTCTGGTCTGTAGAGTACAGTATCTTACCATCTGGCCTAATGTAAAAATCTTCTCTTCAAACACATTTAGTGGTATACAGCTAGCATACACGATCATTTGTGGCTGGGTTGACACTAAGGAATCTAGAGAAAAAACATTAATATCTCTTAAAACAGGACAAACATTAGATAAATGCTGTGGTAACTCATCTTAAATTATTCTGCTTTCTTATAGATCCCCTCTTTCTCTGACTAGCTCATTTTATTCAGAACCGGAGCTTATTATAAAGTACATAGAAGAGAAGCCATGGCTGGAAAAAAAATATATACTGTTTTAATCCTTGTCTATTTAGAGCATCAGACACACTTAAATATTTTACTTCTCTAACACAGATGAAAAAGAGAAGGTACTGCTTAGAAATACATGAGGTCATAGGTAGCTTTGATCATTGCTATTTTATTTTTCTTCTTATATTAAAAATACTAGGTCCCAAAGTAAGTAACACAGTACACATTATCAATATAGCGTGAAGTGAAAATATACTGATCGGCCAGTAGTAGCTAAAAGCCCCTCAGCAGTGAAAACAAAATTGCTTCAGAAAGTGTGAGGATGTGATCCCCTGGCTTTTCTTCCACACCCTTCAGCTGACCCTGTTTTCCCAAGCTTCTGTCACTGGTAAGGTAGAACAACATGACCATGTTCACTTGGCTGTCCTTACAATCCATTCAATCCACTCATGCCTACCTCACATTAACCCCTGAGGGAAAGGGAAAGGGAAAGGGAAAGGGAAAGGGAAAGGGAAAGGGAAAGGGAAAGGGAAAGGGAAAGGGAAAGGGGGCTTTTTGGCTGACGATCAGTTCATTCATGCTTCAGGAAAGCTAAAAGTTTAATAGATACCACATTTGAAACATAGGTCTGTGGTCTGACCTAAAAAGCAGCTCAAATAGGAAGTTATCTATTTCTCTATACTTTTACTCAGCCATCTGAGAAAGCACGTGAGACAGGATTTCAGGACACAGATTGTGACACCTTCTTTCATCAGAACGTTCTGTTGTTGCTCCTTTCAGCTGCACTGCAAATGCAGGATCATTATCTCTTAGATTTCACATGTTTAGTGAGTATTCAGCTGCACATGCTCTAAGAATAGGTAGCTGCATTGCAGTTGTGGAACAGAATCAGTGTTGCTTGCATAAAAAAAAATAAAGGAATAGGAAAGATAAAGAAAAGGAAAAAAATAGGCAAGTGCCTCAAAAATACAATTTATGAAATATGTTAAAAATCCATAATTTAGAAAGTAAGCAGTATATTTTTCTCCAAGAATTACTATATCTCTGCATATTAAACATTTTTCCAAAAATTCTGTTTCTTAATCAACTGTAAGTTGATTGTAAGCTACAATTACTTCTCAGTAGATCCTTAATATCTCCTGCTCCGTGCTTGTGATTTCCATGTCAATCAAAGCTCTTGTATTAACTATCTGTTTCAACTTACTCAAAAGCAAAAATATAATTTAGGTTTGATCTCACTTCTCCGCTGACACATCTGATCTACTATAAATACAGCACTAGCTATGATGTACAACATGTTACAGAGCGGTACAAGCCACACCATTCTCATGTGAGATGTATTTCTCAAATACAAGTATTTCAACAAACGCCAGGTGGAATCTAAAGCTGTCATATTCAGCCCAGATGGGTTGTGAAATAAAATGTCTGCAGGGCACTGAAAAAATTATTAGACCTACCAAGCACATGATATTCTCTTCAATAATACTATTAGAATAGTAAAAAGATTTGATGCTGTATGCCAGCGCCTTTTAAAAATAAAACATTACTTGATCAAACCTGAGGAGAGTGTATGCAAATTATCACCAAGTGTACTCTTGATTAGTGTGAACTCAGTGCCTAGGGAATCTAGTTAAAACTGATAGCCTTCATAAAATTGTATTATTAAGTGAAATATGTTATGACATATTGCAAAAAAACATATTCAGCAAAGCCTATTATTTATATCCATCAGTGAGGACTTAAGAATTCTGCAGGGGGTTGTTGAAGATTTTTGGATCTTTGTAGCTAAGTTTCACAGTTACTGTTCTGCAAATTCATTTACAGATTGAGTGAATGCTACACAAGCTCAGCAAACAATTCAGTCTCCAAGGAGCTGAGAAAGTACCAGTGGAATTTACATAGGCAAAATGCATAAACTGTATAACAGTAGGCAATCAATTGAAAGGAAAGGCCAAGGATGGGAACTGATAGGTTTTGAAAAAAATCTTTATGACATAAATTTAAAAGGAAAAAAAAAAAAAAGGAAGACTTGCAACACATTTTCCCATTTTAACGTGACACTTCTCTTAAATATTTTTATTGACAAACAAGAGCTGATGTTGAGTTATAACACTTTACCAAACTTTTCAGGTGGCCTATAATACCCTTCTTCTCAGGGGTGCTAGGTACGGATTACCTTGGGCTAACAGAACTTGTGTGTGAGTGTGAGTGTGAGTGTGTGTGTGAGGGTGAGTGTGTGTGTGCGAGTGTGCGCGAGTGTGTGCGAGTGTGCGCGAGTGTGTGAGTGTGCGCGCATGCGCGCGTGCAGAAAAATGACCCGTATGCTTATCAGAATTTACATATATATTGCTGAATGAAAATATGCATTTGAATGAACAGATCAAAATATTCAACTCCTCTCTCTATTTGTAAATAACTCTCTTTAGAACAGGCAAAAGGAAACTGGAAAGAACTTATGGATATTTTCATAAGTATTACACATGTAATTTATTCTGACAGTTAAAATTATAGATCTACTTGTATGACTTACAAATTTTTAATATATTCTTCAAACACTATGCTGACATTGAAAAGTGACATCGAAGTTATTACTATTCCTAACTGTGAAAATGACATCAAGGCACACAGAGTGTGCCAAAAACAAATATCTGGTCTGAAGAAGAGGCTCCCAATTCCTAGCTAACGCCCTCTTCACTAGAATTGTATTCTCTTTGCAGCAGCTCAGAAGTTCCTGGGAAATAATTACTCTAGGTGAGTAAATGGGGGGAGACAGAAAGGTTTTCTGTTTCTCTGTTTTCTGTTCATCTTCAGTTGATGAAACAGATCCAGGACAAGAGTTACCAGATCATCAGACCTAAACCCTGTCCTTCTGCATAACCTCTTGGCTGACCATTATATTCTTTGGTAAATAAACATTTTTATATGGCAGAATAAAGACCAAAACATCACGTTTCCACACTGATAATCTTAATGTCCTTTCACTGATTTAGTAAAATTTTTAGAACTCACCACTTAACTAGAATCCTTCTGCTCCTCCTTTCTTTCTTTTTCTCATAATATACTGGAGTGTTTGGTCGTGCTCCCTTCATATTCAGGTGAAATATCTCATTTTGTATTCCACAACTACTACCATTGAAACAACTGTGTTCCATTAGTACATTTGAAAATTTAACTCCGTTAGCAGTTTAAAACACAGGAAGTCAAATGAATAACTCTTGCAATATTTGTTGTCAGCAAACAGCAATATTGGGTTGCTATAATTTGAATGATTTAAATGACAAATTTTAATCAGGATTTGCATGAAGATACAGGAAATTGATTTAAATAAGTGTATTTAATACCTCCTATAATTTAGATTAGAAAAACATAAATTAAAAACAAAATCCATTTCTTTATATGCATCTCCTTGCTTATATTTCTAACTTTGAAGGCACAGCACTTACCCTCAGTCAAGGTTTGGAGGGAGCTTTGGGCATCTGATGAGACTCGTGAGGACTGAAGTGATGACTTGTGTTTTTCTTTTTCTCCATCTCTGCTTCTCTTCTTTCCAATTTCTTTCTGCTCTGCTTTTTTCGTTAAAAAAAAATGATGAAATATTTTTGCTTTTCAGATAAAAACTATCAGTCATAGGGTCTACTAGTCCATAAATAGTATACTGACATTTTAGATAAATTTATTTAAAAAATCATTATTCCAGTAAGAAGCTAATGTCCAGTTAGTCATGTAATTCATTTAAAAGTGGGATTTTCTTAAGATTTAAATATAGATTTAGTGAGAGAGGGTTAGGGACATTCTAGTCCTACCTCTCAGTTACTGCTCAATTCCCATTTACCTTCTATAAAGTTTGCAGTATGTGAAACATCAAATTATTTCTTCAAGTCCCTAATCCCATGCATCAGTAATTTCCATTTTTTTCTCAGAAGTTATTCAATTGTTCTGGACTGACTATCAAACTGAAGGAGGAAAGTTAGCAATGTTTTATGGGTCAGAAAATAGAGTCTTACATGGGAAGTACTGAACGCCATAGAATAGGATTCTGTCAGGAATGCTGGGAACAAAAAAGTAGGGAGTCTGTTACTGCTTCTAATGAGATCTATAGTTAGAACTTCTTCTCAGTGATGCTCACTTTACTTATACTTGGTTTACAAAGATAACACAGACCTTTGCCCGTTTTATCAGCCTTCTCTGCTTTCTCAGGTTTCTCTGACTGCTTATTCCCAGGTGAAATTTCATTTTTTAACTCAAAAGTTTTGGTCTCTTTAGGTTTTATTTGTGGCTCAGATGTTTCAAGTTCTGGAGATTCCCCATTTGGCAGCTTGAATTCTGGCACAATCTCTTTCAAAAAGTCCCAAACTTTATCCATGTTACTAGACCTTAAAAGAACAAATGCATGTAATCAGTAATGATACTTGTATTTGCAATAAGATAAGCATGTAGGATCTTCACTTAGAGAACATTATCACCACCACTGACAGTCCAGCTCTTAAAAATACCTGCAGAATGTAACATGTGTGTTAAAAAAGGTGTTCAAAAGAAAGAGATGTTGGTTAGGAAAGCTAGTAAAAATATTCTTTCCTCAAGCCTTTCAGCAGAAAAAAATACGGCCCAATATTGGTACTGTGCAATGACTGCAGAAAATTTATACACCACTTTGCAACTGTATCATTTAATAACTTGATCCTACATATTAAAAGCTTTTCTCAATGGTACTTTCAGACTCTGTTTTCCTATTTTGTTTCAGCACATGCAGTTCCATAAATCTTCCACTGATTCCATGACCTAAAACAGCATTTTGATATGATGGTAGATGTCATGCTGTTTCTTCACAGAAAATCAGTGATTCCAGAAATAAACTGAAAGTGAATGAATAATTCAGGACCATAAATAAGTTTCATGCAATCTAACTGCATGCTTATGCACATAATTGGTTGTAAAGCAAGCAGAAGCTATCTTCATACTATTACAACAATAATTTTGTGGTATTCACATTTTCCCTCTACAAAAGTTAATACACTTGTAATAAATGCCATATTCATGAATATATTTTTGTTGTTGTAAGAATGAACTGCATAAAGAACCAAATTCAGGTCATTTATATATCTAAACCCATGGGCTACAGGCACATTGCAGGACAGAGATATCTCAAAAAAAAAAATAAACTGCTATAAAAGGGACAAAAAAAAGACTGCTGAAATGAAGAACAAAATAGGTGATGACTGATTCTTTTTTATACTGAAGTACAATTACACCTAAACAATAACATGTAAACAAATTTACCTAAATCAAAACAACTATACCTAAACAACTTATTCATTTCAAACGAAGGTGAAAAAGTACAATTAATAAAAAAAGCTTCTATTTGAGGTACAGATCCCAATCATTTATTAAATAAAGGATGTCATGATGGAAAATCAGAAACATGAAATGAACTTAAAAACATAGAAAATAAGTAAAAATATTATTAGAAGTTAGAAATATTTTTATTTGAAATAAAAGAATACCAGCTGCTTCAGTTTAAAAAGTGAAAACATCACACTAGCCAAATTTATTTACTTCCAAAATCACATCATATAGTATACTTTCTATAGTACATTCCGGTATTAAAATATTTCTGATCCTGACAGACCACTTATAGCATATGTGATACAAACTTAACCCTTAGCCCTGTTTTCCCTACAAGGTTTGATATCAATTAAAATATAAATTACAATAATTATCAGCTTAACATGAGAAATATCTGACTTGCAAAGAAAAACACAGTAAAATTAGATTCCTTGAAGGCACGTTTTTCTAGTGCTAGAACAAAAAGACTTACATTTCTCCAAATTCATGCTGATTAATTTTTAGATTCAGCTTTATTTTTCCTTAATAGCTTATAAAACTAAATGACATTTAGTTTCTAATAAAAAGTGACTTTTTATTAGAAGAACTTACTGGATAGGAATAAGTTCTGGTATCCATCCAGTCAGTGCATGTAAAACTGTAAATTCCTCTAGCTCTCTTTTTCCACTTTCACGTACACTACAACAAAAAAGCAGATGAAATATGGAATTACGTAATTATGGTATTTATTTAATAAAAATAGATAATTAAAAATGATATAGATATAATAAAATTTGGACTAAATAATCTCCATAGGTCCCTTCCAACGTCAACCATTCTGTGGTAATATATCAACTCATGGTCAACTCTACAGTCAATACTGTAGAGTCACAGTGTACAGACAGAGATAAACAAACTGCAAAAGAACAAGCCCTTGGTCACAGGTTCATTAATGTGTTCTTAATGTACTATGTCAGTAGTTGCAGCATAAATGTTAGCAAGTACATTATATTCTCACACTGCAGGCTTTTTTTGCACAGGTTGGAAATCTCTCATGCTGTAAGACAGAAATGAACCTAGAACCTCCTGAGCAGATCCTCTAACTCCCAAATTATTATGGTAAAGTTGGTTGCATTTCCAGGGTACTGTATCTGACACTTTCGAAGAGAAAACGACTCCTGTGTTATGAAGAATTTTCTATCTGTTCATCCCAAGAGGACCTAGCTTAAAAGTCCTGACTCAAGACATGGCTCAAGCCCCTGTGACTCAAGACTTGAGACAGCTCGAGCAGATTCTCTGTCTTGTGTGGAAGTCCTTTAGATTGCTCTTCTGACAAATTTACTTTTTGATGTGACAAGAAATGGAAGCTAGGATTACTTTCAATTAAAAATTAGCATCTCCTTCAGAACTTCAAATTAGACAAAATACTTTTAAACCATTTCCTTTTTTTTTTTTCCCACCAAAGTGTATTTTTCCTCAACAGCCTTGAAGGCTTCCTTTCGCTTGTCTCTGACATATTCTATTTGCATCGTAAGTCTATTCTCCTTTAGAAGTGAGCTGGAACAGACAGAAGTCCCATCAGAATGCATCCTATTGCATCCTCTTCAGCTGTTCCTTCCTGTCTTTACAATCAGGAACCCCTTCTCTCTGCCAAAGAGATCAAGCACTCTATCTCTGCAGCCTTTCCATATTTTTACCTAGGATGTAAGCGAGAGTCCAAATAGGACAAACATGAAGGACACTGCAGATTTCCTCCATCAGTCCTGTTTACTTGAACTCCATTATATCATGTTCCCTTCCAACTTGTAAAGCCTATTCCTAGCTATTTATTTTAAATTTTAAATCTACAATAACTAGTATCTGATGTATTAAAACATTTTTTCAGTGGTTTCTAACTTATTTCATATACTTCATATATATTCATATATTTTATTACATATTTCATATATAACATATGCAATATATCATATTAATTTATTAATTTATATAATATATAATATATATTATATATTATATAATATATAATATATAATATATAATATATAATATAATATATATTGTATTTATATTTATATAACTATATATTTATATACTGTATTATATTAATTTATTAAATGTGTATTATATGCTACATATATCATATATACTATATGCTACATGTATGTACATGTACTATATATTATATATATTTATATATAACTAGCCTTATAATTTTCAAGACATTACTTAACACAGCACCACCTCTATAGGTTATAACATTTAGCATCAGAACAATCAAAAGGAAAATTAAAAATTCTGAAAAGAGGAATTGCAATATGACATAATGATACTGTGTCTATATTTCTTTTATTTGCTCACACAAAGATTTCCATTCCTTACAGACTGGCTAAGCCTCTCAATTAAAACTGCAGTAAGTTTTAATGCCCAAAACTGCTTGGATATTTTTGTTTGGCCAAAATCAACACATGAGTTTTCTGGAAAAACTGCAGATAGATGAGGCAGATATGAAAAGGAAGAAACTCAAGTTCCTTTGTGAAAATTTGTATGGATATACACAAACAAACATATAAAAAGGAATTACTGTATCTTCAATAATCACTGAGGAACAGGATTTACTAATTTATTGTGCCAACTTCCAGGAAAGTGCATATGTGTCATTACAGTATTTGTAGCAAAATATTTTTTTCTCATGCACATTAAAATCACTTTTTTTTTTTTTTGTAAATTCCACACAATTTCACTAAACAAACTGCAAATGAGCCAACTAAACATACTCTGTATTTGCAAGCTTAATGATAGCTTTGGACAGCAGCATTGGCCAAAGTTCAGTTTCACAGGTTGTAGCTGGTAGTAACAAATTATCATCTTCATTGAAAGGCATAGTGTCATCCACAGTGATCTTTCTCCAGCATCCCTATGCCAGGAGTCAAAAAAAAAAAAAAAAAAAAAAAAAAAAAAAAAAAAAGAAAAGAACATTGAATTTGTGGGCTGGAAAAAGAACTTCCATGAGGAGAACTCATACTCTTTCTGAAGAATTCAATTCCGTATTTATTTATGTTAGAGAAGTTCTCATGTAATATCTGAGAAACACAGAAACAGTATCTCTAGTATTTCATTACTGATCGATTTCATAGAGCCATCTGAGTGCAACTATTTTGAGACATATTTATTCTTTTACATGTGGTCTACTGTGTGCTTGTCACACATTCACATGTTTCCTAACATTAAACTGTTCCTTCAGGTGTCATGTCAAATGTCTAACAATAATAATATAAAAGGCTTAACTAGATACTGCTTTTGCAAATGCCTCTTCAACATTACTTTCTATCCTTACAATGTGTTCTTTGCATCCTCCCTCCAGATATTGAGAGACATTTATAAGATTTCCTTCTCAGTGCCCTCTTGCCCAGCTCCTGAACAGACCCAGCTCTCTCATCTTCTCCTATGAAGGACACGTGAGTCCCTTAACCATCACAGCAGCCGTTTGCTGGACTCCCTGCAGTAGCTCCATGTCTCGTACTGGAGAGGCTAGCCCTGACCCCATCACTCCACTAGAGGCCCTTGCCACAAGGGTGCATTTTTGGCTCACAGTCAACCTGTTGTCCACAAGGACCCCCAGGGTCATCTCTCATAGGTGCTTTCTAGTAGGTTAGTCCTGGGATCTGACAAAAATCACAATTCTACTGTGGCTCAGATAAATTAATCTTGTTTTTAGCAGAAAGATCATTTGTATTTAGCTACTTATTTCATAATACAGAATGAATGATCAAAAATTTTTCATTTTTCTTTTGGAATTTTTTTTGTGCTATGGAGTAATATTAAAAATTGTTTGATGCAATTTGTATTTCATTCAGCAACAGTTCATTAACACTTATTTCTACAGACATGTTTTCTTATCATAAACACTTATCTTAATCATTAAAAATTAGGCTTGTTGGCTGTAGAAATTGTACATAGAAATAATGTTTTATAATACTAGAAGCAACTACTCACCATCCAATAAAGTTTCACTATATATTTTCCATAGCTATTGTACAGTGGCATGTGTTCGCTAGTAGCTTTACATAAGGCATAAATATGTTCCCATGGTTTCCAAAAAAGTGTGGATGCTTCACCAGTTGTAAACTTTTCATTACATATCCTCCAAACTAAACAAATTTCACTTATAATCCACCTCATCAGCTGAAAAAAAAATGCCACAGAAATATGAAAAGATATTTCTACTCAAACTTTTAGAAAAATAATATCAAATTATTCTATAATGATCAATGGGCATAGAGACCCAAGTATAATACGAAGAAGCTACATAAAAACAGTTACAGATTTATTCATCATTTACTTTTCACTGGTACACCTTTTTCTTTCTTTTTCACAGTTTCTGTAACAACACAATCCTATCCAAGTGAGATTAGACAGAACAAATTAGGTTGTCCATCCACCAAAAATAATGAGGACATTTCAAAGTAAATTATATTATACTAGATACAGCTGTTAAAAATCAGTAAAAATCAGTATCAGCTTCAAAACTCGGTAAAAATATATTAAACTATTTTTAGTATTTAGTATTTTTTTATTTAAAATAGTTTTAACAAATAATGCTCTTTCAAGTATGTGTCTTTCTAATATATAGATTTACAATGTAAGCTATGATTTCAATAGCACTACTAGACTGTGATTTATAAAAACAAGAATGAGAATAAACTTTTATTACAGGGTATTTGCCCTAAAAACAAGCAGTGGTTCTGTGCTTAGGTAAGTTTACAGCATTCCCTTTATGTTACTGCTTCCCATACAGTTTCTTAATTTTAAATTTTCATTGAAGCACTGAATTAAGTTGAATTTATGAAGAAGCATATACCCAGTAAGGCACTCACTTAGATGCCTTGGTTCTAACTGCTTCATTTTTTTCCCCTCTAATTTGTACAAATTGTGTGTCTTTGATACATCCATTCTAATATGTGGAGAAGAAAAAGGCTGCTTGGTTGGCAAAGACATTCATAAAAATCAGGCTTACTACAAATATGAATTTAGGAAGCTAGAATAAAAAGCAGAAATTCTCTCTAATGTTGCTTTTATTTTATATTATCTTTAGAGAACATCACTCCAGTAACAGTCTCTACAGCCTCTATATTTTCTTAAGAAATCATACTTGGAAAACCATCACTTTTTTATTTTTACAATTACTAAAAAATGCAAACGGAATTTTACAAATCTAGGTGTTTTTTTTTTTATCACTGTTTCCCTCTCATTCTTTTGTTTTCATTTAATTAACTTGACACAACTTGTTTATTCATAGCATAAATTTGGAGTGAAAAATACCCTTAAAAAAGAAGAAATATAAAAAAGTGCATTTATACATGTTTACTCACCTCGCTACAAAATATATGCTCATTTGCTGAAAAAAGGTCAAATGTGGTTTCATTTTTGACTACGGTAGGAACCTGAGAGAAAAAAAAATAGTTGAAAGCCCATTATCCACAAAATAATTAATGAACAGTAATGTTTAACAGTAGCTACATAAAAATGTTAGACATATCAGATGTCAATTAAAAGATTGTAATTTTGCAAGTCTTTTATCTGCTTTGTTATTTCTAAATAAATTCCCTTCAAACACTATTCCGAAAGCAAAAGAATCTTTATTTTTATTAGATGATTAAAAAGTTGTTCTCGGAATAATTTAACTAAAGCCAGTGTGTAAGAAGAACTGGCACATAGTTAGGGTTAGGAATCACAGGGCAGTTTGGCTGATTTATGATTTGCTATTTTTGAAAGGAGCAGGCTGGCCCAGGTTTTAATTCGTGGTCTCACCCTTTTTCTTATTCAGTGCTGGAATCTGGCTGACCCCATCTAGTTGTCTCAGATTTCTAAAACAGAAGAGTTTCATTCACGTTTTCTTTTTTGCTGCCAGCTTTCTGGCAAGTTTAGCAAGCCAACTGGCTTGTCAGAGCTGGAGTGTGGGGCTGGAATCCACACGATGGTGAGCAGAGCAATTTCAACACCTTTGCGTGGCAGAAACTTGTTAGGTGGGCTTAGATATCTTGTGATGTCTAATGAATATTTTCAACAGACACAATATCTAATGTGTTCCCTTCTTTTTAAATATTGGCCTTTCATGTTCTATCTTTAGTGTAAACACTTCAAATTTCCTAAAAAGAGCCAAACACGCTATGCTTATACTTTATCTCTTCTGCTACTCAAAATTCTGTAAAATAACTTAAAGATATATATTTTATGTAAATAATGTCTCTTCTCTGATGCAAAATCTTGAAATCTTAAAAGTGAAACTAGATTAACTTTGGGTATTTTTTGACAAAAATCTGTTCATCATTGAAAACTTGTTAAACTGTAAAAAATCAGTCTTAAGATTATGACAGATACCTCAGGATTAAATGCTGGCTGTCAGCAAAATCATTATCCATCTCTCTCAACCAATCTAGAGTGGGATGGGGTAGGAGAGAAACAAATGGAATGACTGAAGACAAAAAAAAAAAAAAAAAAAAAAAGGAGCCCTTGACATGCCCCTGAAGACATAAAAAAATGAACTCTTCACATAATATCAAACTCTTGAGTAACATAAGGGGCAAGGTTTTTCCTCTTCTCATTTTTCACGTTTAAAAAATAAAGTTCATGTCCTGTGTCAAATTAAACCATATAATGAAATCCAAACATTTTTTTTAAAAGAAAATCTTAACTCTTTATTTCTAATTGACACTATTAAAACTACCAACTCGGTATAATTAAACACAGGACATTCAAGGACGTTCAAATAAAACTTAGTTTTTTATGTCTTTTCTCCAAACAGAAAACCATGTTTCTCAGATAGCATGTTTCTCAGGTGTCAAAACAGAATTTTGGATATTTTTAAGTAGCTACAGTCATATATGAATTCAAGTTTGATTGTACTAGTAGATATGAACAATGTCTTTAAGAAACCTTTAACTTCATTAAAATGTTTTCGTAACTGCTATTACTGAATAGACGCTATTTTCTAATTGCAAGCAATTCATAGCATTACAGCTTATTGAACTAAACATCTGTAATCTTATTGGTAATCATCTGTTTGATGCTTTGCTTATCACAGTAAATAGCTTTTTTTCTTTTGTAGTTGCTAGTAAATTAGGCAGCAATGTGTATCATTAAGCAATCTTTCATCATTTGAGATTTACAATGATTTTATAATAACTTATACTTCTAGTATCCATAGCTGCTTGATCCCAAAATACACTGGCATCAAAAACAAGCATGAAAGTTTTGACCAACTCTTAAAGAAACTAAATGCTTTCTTGACAAGATGCCAAAGATATATTTTATAATCTGTTTTTAACATAGGTACATATGTTTCCATGGCTTTCTGGGCTGCCATATCTTTTGCCCTCATCTTTCTGGCATCTCTATTCAGTCTACATATTTTGGCAGCATTTCACATCCAATCTTTCAGTCTTGTCAAATAGTCTCCTGATTCTCTTTCCCCCATTAAAAATTAAACTTGGAGCCGCTTAGCGTATATTTAATAAAAAATGAAACCGACAGGCTGACAAAAGTAAAACTGACAGGACTGGTAAATTTGGAAGGGTGGTCAAGGTGCTTTAAAACTTTGGCATTTTATCTGAAGCAAAAATGCTTTAAAACTCCAGATTAGCAGCAAAGATGGAGAGCACTCCAAGCTTTCATATGTCAGGCAGATTATATTCTATGTAGTTTATGTTACAAAGCAACTGAATAGAGCTTTGTAAAATTATAAAATGTTAAGAAATGTACCAATATAAAATGTTCCAGACAAGAACTGTCAAAGATGTGGATGTGTTCTGCATGCATGCAAAAAAAAAAAAAAACCTCGAAGTGCGAGGGGTAAAAAAGTATTGTCCTTTTGGTAAAGCCAATTCATAGTTTCAGGACAGACATTTACTTTAGAGATCTGCTGAAAGGATGCCTCAATTGGAATAAACAAATCTGTTTCAGGCTCTGTCACGTAAATTTGTTTTGCCATAAAACTGATTTTAGTAAGAAAACAGAGAAAACAAACACAAAGGAAAACAGGAGGACATCTCTCTGTGCAGGTGACTTCTAAATTCAACTGGAAAAAAAAAAGCTGAACAGAGCTAAAAGATTATACTACCATATGCATGTAGACTTAAAAACATACAAATGGATTTGCCTATGGAAATAAGGCTCTCCTACTTGTGACATAGCTAGGCAAATAGCATCTTTTCATTTTGACCTTGCTTGTTTCTTACCTTATTTGTTAAAAATTCACTTGGACGTTTCCATGAATTCACTTTTAAGGATAAAGGCAATTCTATTTTCCCTTCAGGATCCTCAAAGATAGGCTACAGAAAATATGCATATACAAAAAATGAACTTTTTAAAATTAGTTACATTATTGGATCTTCTGCAAGATTTAAAATGCTTCATTGCTCACCTGATAATTCACTTAAGAGGAATAAAAATAGCACAAAATGTACTAACAAATCTGTAACTCTCTCAATTAAACAGTGAATTCTGGCTTGCTGCTTGGATCAAGATTGATTTAAAAAATTGTTTAGATCCCTAGTCACATTTGGTAAGATCAATACTTTTAACAATTCCTTTAAATATGTAGAGAGCATTGTGTCATATAGCATGGTAGCTGAAGAACTGAATGGTCTGATAAACAAGTCATAATGTTCTCACGCTAAATATTTTTACATTTTATCTGTTATGACAATGTCTGGGAGACCTAACAAATTAGCATTTTATTAATGTTTAGAATACAGCCAAAGATACCAAGTGTAGTAATGGATCAGAGGGGGGGGGAATTATTTTTCCAGCAAGCTAATGCAACATTCAGTCACGAAGCTGTAATTCAGTCAAAGGAATTCTTTGGCCCAAACAGACTACAAGCTGTAAGATAAGAAAAAGATCTACATATTTAAATATGTGCTCACTTATGAATTCCTCTGCATCTGCTAGACAATTGTGCTTTGCAAAACAATCGTATCCCCTCAACTCACTCTCTGCAGTAGAACTTTAGCCTGCATTTCATGTGCCCCTAAACTGAGTTGTGGGGAAAAAAAAGACTTCAACTTGCTTTCTACAAAAAAAAAAAAAAAATAAATAGATAAATAAATAAATAAAATTGCAAAGACAGATGCCTTGAGCCCTTTAAGTCCACAGAAATTATAGTGCCCAAAGAAAGGAATGCTGAATTGAACTGCAACAATACATTTTGTTTCAACATCCCCAGTTTTATTTATGATATGAAATAGGTTAGGGCCTTCCATCTTTTTAACTATTAATGCTTTAATAGCACACATATATTGAAGTGTTTATTTAAGAAGCAACTAACTAATAAACAACGCACAAATATTTTTAGTTAATTAACCCGGGGTAGTACTTATTGAAAATATGTGAATATATATGAAAATACATGAAAATATAATTGAAAATTATTGTTAATCAGCAACAAATTATTTTGAAGTTGTTATAAAGTTATCATATTAAAGACAGGCTCCAAAATTAAGTAAAACTAATAAATCTGTGTCACACACAACTTACTAAAATAGGACTTCTTCGAGATTTTTCTTTATCTTTTCCAGGTTTTCCTGCATCCCATTTTTCTGCGTTGATTTCTGCTTCATTCCATTCTGGCCAAATGGGAACTTTTCCTTTCTTTGACTCACTGCTTGTACCTGTTTGGAAAGACATATTCCTCCTGGACAACCAGAGGCATGAATAAAAATGAACACTAGGTAGGCAAGGGAAATAGAAAGACTTCTAGTTCATTAACTATTCATGTTTCTAATGTAACTTAACAACAATTTTTGTGTTAATAACTACAACAACTTTTTAATGCTAGAATAAGCCAGACTATAGAATCGTTTGATAGCATCATAAGGTATCAGCTAGGGTGGGACTACAGCAGCTCCATCCCTTTAACAATGCAGTCTGGGAGCAGATCTGAAAAGCAGCCTGGCACCCAAAACTGAGCAAAAGGGTTTAAATAAATCTTACTGCAGAAGAAATAAAATTAAAAAAAAATATATATCAACTTCAGCTAGCCAGAAAAAAAGGACTGAGATTAGAATTCCCTCTTGGATACTCATTAGTGTCCTAAAATCCATATGTATGGCAACACAAATGTGATATCAGATAGAAACTGGAACCTTAATATAATTTACATAGTATTTCTATTTTATTATATACAAAGCTAAGGATATTTTAACTCTCTCTTTCCTTTTCTTATATATGACACCTTTTCCATATTTTTTTAATGAGCAGCAGCAGAATTCCTAAAAAGATTTCTCTGAGATCTGGAAGATAACAGGGCATTGGGCTATGATTATAAAGCTATTTTTGCAACCACATGCCCAAAGCTATAACAATCCTTCTTAAAGCGAAAAGATTAGTTTCTTCATTAACTGACAATTTCAGGAGGGCAATTTCAAAGGACAGATTCCTATTTTTGATATTTGATAATGCCTGCCCATATACCTCATATTGTTGCATATGGATATTTATTCTGTATAAAAAGCGCACCAATGACAATATATAAGGGCATGATCACATTCATCTTCCATAAATTCAGCTTCTCCCTGAGATTTTAGTGACTGCATAAAACACATCATTATTTCTATTCAGCACTTGCAAAACCACATTTGGAGCACCGTGTCCAGTCTGGAGGTCCCTGGTACAACACAGAAATATCAGAGCAAGACTAGAGGAGAGGAAGAAGATACTGGAGGCTGGAGCACATGAGGTATCAGGAGAGGCTTTAGACAGTGGAATTTGTCCAGTCGTAACAATTGTGAAGGTAGAAAATGGTTGCTGGCTTCAGCTATCACTATGGGGAACATAATGCCAGGAGTGGACAGCGGCAGGACAAGTGGCAACAGACACAAACTGGAATATAGGAAACACTGACAGATTGTACATAAGGAAAAGAAATGCTCACGGTGATGGTGGCAAGCACTGAAACAGTTTTCTGAAAAGGGCTGTGGAGAAAGAACAAACTTAGAAGGCCCTATGTAATCTTATTTATCTATGTAATCCTGTTTCAGGCAAAATGGTTGGACTAGACGACCTTCCAAGGGCTGCTTGTATTAAAATGGTTCTGAGATTCATTAATACCGTGCAACTAGCGCTGCTAAGGACAAACAGATGGACAAAAAAAGATTCCTTACGGTTTAGTCGATAACTACATTCATCCACACTACCAATAACTCTTACTGTAAGAAAGCTGTGAAAATTCAATGCCATCTGTGCCTTCTGCAGGGTAAATAAAGTAGAGCTTCTTCCATTCTAAAAAAGTAGAAGGATGTACTCTCTGGAGTGACATTTTCCTTTTCTTCACCATCTCCGTCCACTCAGTCAAGTGTAATCAACCTCCTGTACCTCTCTGCAATGACTGATCTTTCATTAATCTGAAGATTTCTTCTAAAACATTTTCTTGGAGAGTTTTTAAATATTTTCAACAACACTCAACAAGCAAGTGAATATCCAAAAGCGTTCATTGGAATTTGTTTGGATTACTACGTAGGTCTACAACAGTGACAGTTATTTCAAAGAATCTGCTGTGTCCACGTTAACTGCATGTATGAAGAGTAACGAAGGACTGAACATGAGCTGTACCAAGGATTTCATTACCCGAGACATTTTGAAACTTTGTCTTTTTGAACGTTGATTAAAAGACAACTTCTGGAAACCACTTATATGTACTTAAGATTAATAAAAAGGATAAATTCTTACTTTTTCCTCAATTAGGCCATTTCAGATGAAATATGAAGCAATTTTAAATAAATATTCAAGGACTGCTTCTATTTTTTTTTGTCTTTTCCCCCCCCCCCTCTTTCTAAGTAGATACATTTGGTCTTTTAAGTATTTATGGAGAAGCATGGAAGATTCATTCAATAATAATAATAAAGTTCAGAAACCATTCCAGAAGACAACTGAAAATAAATGCAAAATTCAGAGTCTATCATTAAAGGGTATTAAATAAAACACACAGTCACACTGTGATGGAAGGAAAGAATTTTAACCAATAACCTCCAACAATAAAATTCAAGTCCTGTGTTATTCCATTTTTAGTTTGTATTTAATACTCCTATAAATCTTTTGCTACATAAAAAAAAAAATGACATAAATTCCATGAAATAGTCCGGTTTAAACCTGAGAAGCATCATTTCCTAATGCAAATTCATCTGCTTTGGGAAAATAAAGAATAATAAAAATGCACACTTGCATATTTATTTATTTTCATTTCACTCTTTTTATACAATAAGTCAAGGAAGGACTTACCTAGCAAGTCATACTAGTATAAAAAATATATATTCCAGTACCCAGGGATGTTACAGAACACCCTCAACATTGACAGCAGTGTGGAAGAGACGGATACAATCCCACCAGCAACTGAAATGTCTGCACTAAGCTGTGAGAGCCCAATAATCTTGGTTCTCAACAAGAACGATTCAAAAAGGTTTCATGCTTTTTTTAAAAAAATGTGTAAATTAACTAGATTTCAAATATAAACAAGTGATTAAGGATAACATAATTTAAACACTGCATTTGATTTTTTTTATTTGATTTGATTTTCTTTATCACAAGAATCAAATAATGCAATTCAATGAAAATTGAAACATGACAAGACAAATGGTTCTTGGTACTTTATGCGCCAGCCAGAGGACTTCATTATGCAACAATTTATCAGCAAACATAATTTATAAACAAACACCAATTTATAAGCAAACTTCTTCTCAATCCTATGCTAAATCACAAAGGAGAAAGCAGAGTGAGTTGCCAAATGGGAGGAAGACTATGAAGTTGGCACCAATTCATCCCTGAGTAGATTCTCTACGGGGGCTGGTATATTGTCCTTCACAGAGCCAGGTATATTGTCCTCCACAGTTCCTCATATAGTGCCAGGAGGGAAAATAAGGACAGAAAGGACAGACCAACACAATAGGCAAAAATTTGGTACAACCTAGAACTTCACCTTTTGAGACATCTTGGATTTGCTAGAGAAACTGCTGAATTCCCTGGGAAAAAAAGGAATGCAAAGGTTACCTAAAATTTTGCCTATCATTTTTGCACAGTCAGCTCCCTAAAACCTCCCAAATCCTTTGACTTTTATTGAGATGAGCAAATCTTGAACTTGTTCTCCTAGTAATTTTGAGGCAGAGTATTTGAAACAGATGAATTCCCCAGGGATTCCACAATAACCATAACTTTCCTTCAGCCTTTCTGATTATTTATTTGCATTTGGACATACCTATCTTTTTCCTTTCTGAAATCTCTGTCATTAACTGTGACACAGGTTGCAAAGATGATTCACTTTTGCAACTCTTTCTGTCCAAGTCTGCTTAGCGTTTACTTTCCCTAAGCCTTCACTGCTTTATTCTATTAAGCCTTCTTACGCTTCTAGATTTGTTAAGATCCACTTTATCGATAATCACAAGAAAATTGTAGAAAGATTTTAATGCTGTCATCACATTCTTAGGACATAGTGCTGTGATTTCTAATCAGGACTGAGATGCACATTGGAAATCAAAGTTTTCATGGGCTTTGTGAGATACTGCTCAGCAGTTGAGATATAGTTACTGACTACAGATCTAATCTTCGCTAACTTCAAGTGTGGAATAAAATACATGTTTCCTTAAAGTATATTTTAGAGAATGAAAAAAATAGCATTGACGCTTGTAACAGCAACTGTTTAAACAAATACTTGTGGTATGATACGTAAGTGGCAGTGTGGCAGGATTAGGCATTCTGCAGAAAGCGAGTTTTGGGGAGATTGGAGAGTTTAATTTGTGGTCATTTGATTCATTCTGATAATTACCTGTTTATCTCCATGGCGTGGCATTTGTTGCTACAGAACTGACATGGCAGCATTTCTGACTTGTACAGGCAGCGTGCAACAGGCTGACACTTCATCCCATCTCAGTATGGTTCCCTATACATGTTTTAAATAGTCATCAACGTTAACTTGGGGAAAATTAAGGAAATCCACGATGGTATTTTGTACCCAGTGTTTCTGATAACTAAACTTAAATTTACAGATACTTCTCTCCCTCTGGTTCTGCAGTTAGAAGTCCTGGAATCCAGGGACATTACAGACTTATGTTGCTTCTGAATTATCTGAGAGAACAGGAATAGGCTTGGAATATTGATATTGCAGTCAATGCATCCTTTCCAAAGGCTTTGGACAATCATTTAAAATATAAATGAATTCTGTTCGTCTTAAGAGTGGTTTCTGTAATTAACAACATAGTTCATGAAACACTCATATGAAAATGCCTATTCCTCAGGTTTATCCATATCACAAAGCTACTCTCTTGGACAACAAGCATAAGAATGGGAGCAGTGATCAGAGCAAAGGTGAATTACAGCTCCAAGTTCAACCATAAGGCAGCTACTGGTGTGAAACTAGGCTTACTCATTCTACTTACATTCTCAAAGCTCAGCGAAGCTATTTGGCCTCAAAGGATCCCCCAAAAGGTGAATCTGTCCAGTCTGTGTTCTCTAAACCAGCAGTGCAGCCTAAGCTTTAAGAATTCTTGTTTCAGAAAAAAGATAGCAGCAACAGATAAAACCACAATTTTAAGCTTTGCTGATTCTTTACACTAGGCCTACAGGAACTCAAGGGTGAATGAGTAGCAGGGCTCCTCTTTTCTTTTTTTTCCTGCTCTTACTGTTCCAACCTTTAATTTTAATAACAAA